TGCTTCAGGGACGCCTTCAGATCCCTTACTTCCTTGCGAGCGCCCCTCAAGGCCTTCTTGTAGTCCTTTCGGCGGTACGCAGCCGCCTTCAACTCGTCCTCGAGAGACGTCTTCTCCTCCCGCAAGTTTGCAAGCTCGGCATCCCGGGCGCCCAGGTCCTTGGTAAGTGCATCCTTGTCCGCAGCCAGGGCGGCCAACTTCACTTCAAATTCTAGGCGCTCTTGCGCCATAAGAGAAGCAAACTCAGTATCCCGTTGGCGGCGCTCCGCCTCCAAAGTAGCCTGCAGAGTAGAGATCTGCTTAGTTGCCTCCATTTGGGCCTCGTCGCACTCCTTGACAAGCTGCTCGCGGCGCGCGGTGGAGTGCTCAAGATTGTCCTTCATTGAGGACAGAGACAACCTCGCTTCGCGACTCTCTTCAGCCGCGATGTCCGCTTTCCGGGCGCCCGCTTCGGCGAGAAGAAGCATCTGCAAAGGAACACCCAGGCGCATAAAAAGTCAGGCGCATGAAGAAATGGGGAGCATTTGTAACGAAAATAAGGCGCATGAAAAAGTTACCTTAACACCCATTCGGGCCACTTCTGACCAAGGACGATCATCTGTGACCTCGGAGGCCAGTTGCAGCACTTGGGACGCCGAAAGGGCAAGTCCTATGGCGCACCCGCGATCCACTGCCGCGGACGGTGAGCAAGAGAGGTTAATGCGCCCCATTTCAGTGCGCAGCGGCTGTAGGATAGGCGGTTTTCCGTCCGGGCCAAGTAAGCGCCCCGACTCGATGGTATAGCGGCCAGAAAGGGCGCCTTGCCTCTGGGCGCCTTCCTCCCCTCGAGCGATAGCATCTGTTGTGTCTTCAGCATTGTGCCGTGCTTTCTTGCCCGAAGAGACTAGACGGGCGCCTGCCCGCTTCCCACGAGTAACCAAGGGCACGTCATCGTCCTCTTCCCCTTGCTCGTCCAGTGCAACAATCAAGGGGGGGATCCGCAGGCGCATCCGCCCCCGAAGGAGTAGAAGCTACACTAGAGGTCTTGGTAGGTTTCTCGCTGGGCGCCTTCTCCTTCCCCTTGACAAAAGGAACTTGGGGCGGTTGCTGAGTAGAAATCGAGGCCGGAGACGACTTGGGTGGCTCAACAGGGGCTTGGAGAGGCGCCCCTTGCGTCATCTTAGCATAGCGACCCCTCATCAAAGTGGCGATGCGGGAAAAGTCGGTACCTGCAAACAAGCAATCACATCAGACAAGGCGCCTGCAAGAGCATCAACAATTAAACTCTAAGTATATAACACACCATCTCCAAAATATGCATCTAAAATAGGCGCCCGGGCACTGGTTGGGCGCAAGTCAACGGGAGAAGCGCTTATAAGAGCAGCGCCGGCGCGCTCGTCCCGGTTAAGCACAACGGCAGCGTTAAAGCGCTCCTCGTTACCAAGTTCCCAATCCATCCTAAAGGCGCCCCCACTCTCAAAGAAGTAGTCCCTATGCGCCTTCACGAAAAAGAAGCCCGTGAACCAGGACCTCCCAAGTTTGGGACATTTAACCACGAAGTGGGCGCCCACCTTCTTCCGGCGCTTCAACGATAAACAGTTATCTCTGGGGTTAACCGAGAAGAAATGGTGAAAGAGGTTGAAAGTCGGGCGCACGTTATGAATTCTGCACTTCAACTTGAAAAGCACAATTATCAAGATCACAGATGGGGACAGGCGCCCAAGAGTGCACCCGCAGTAGTCGAGGAGCCCCTCTAAAACGGGGTCTATGGGAAATCGAAGCCCGAATCGGAAGTACTCTTGGTAGATGCCTTGCCATTTGGGCCCACAAAGACCCACCCTGGCAATAGGAGATGGAGGCGCGTACGTCCACGTACGGGGGAGGTTTAGGCCCGTGATCAAACTGGTCATCCAAGATGCTGAAATGGTGGAGTTGTGCTCAGGCCCTGCCACGTTGGCAGGCAAACACGTCGTTTCAATAGGCGCATACTGAGGTGGCCACGTATTTTCCCAAGTAGTCATCTTGTACGATCCATCCTCCGGCACGTAGTAGTTGGACGATGGGGACGGTATTGGTGACAATACAGACGCGCCCGCTATAACAATTCAACCAGGGGCACAACCGTTGGCGAGGTGAGGGGCGCCCATAGGAAGAACAAAAGCGAGAAAAAAAAATTAGTTAGTTACCTGCTTTGGACGAGGCGCCCGGACCCTTTGAAGAGCCGGCGGCGGCGGCAGCAGCATTGGTGGTCGGGTTCGACATCTCGGACTGAAACGGAAGCAACCTGGCAGGAGGAAGGAAAGGCACGATAGAGAGAGAAGCTAGAGTGAGAGAGTTGAAGGCGAATGAAGAAAGATCAAAAGAGAACTCACATTTAAAGGAATTAGAAGTCGCGCCTCGACATTCGTGCCAAATCACCAAGTGGTCCAATCACAACCGTTCAATTCGAATTTCAAATTGGCGGTTGTGAGGGGGGCAGCAAGGGTAGAGCGAGGCGCCTTGAGGAAAGGGGAGATCGGCGGGGGACCGAGGCGTCTTTGAAGAAAGGAGGTTGGGCAAGCAAGGCGCCTTAAGGAAAGAGAGATCAGCGGGGGAGCGAGGCGTCTTTGAAAAAGATGGGTTGGGCAAGGCCCCTTGAAGACGTGACGGAAGGCGCCGAGGGAATGAGAGGCGCCGAGAATTATGAAGGGGGGGCAAGGCGGTGAATCTCGAGTGAGGCGCCTTCGGAAAGACGAAGGGGACGAAGAATTGGGAGGCGCCTGCGAAAAAACAAGAATGGGGCGGAGTTGCGAGGAGCCTACGTAAGTAAGGAATCGGGGATCGCGACGCGCTTTTGAGGATGCGGCGGAAGAGTAGGAGGAAGGGGCCGAAAGGCGCCTCGTGTTAGGAAAAGGGGGGTGCCTGTTCGATTAGGAAAAGGAGAGGCGCCTTTGAGGATGCGGCGGAAGAGTAGGAGGAAGGGGCCGAAAGACGCCTCGTGTTAGGAAAAGGGGGGTGATTGTTCGATTAGGGTAAGGAGATGCGCGTTGGCCAAAGGAGAATTGGATAAGGTTGAGTTATAAAGGGGAGAGCGGGGCGCCTGGAATAGCGGTAAAAGGGGGTGTCATAAGGCCTGAAGATGGACGCGGGGCAAGAAAACGGGGTAGGGGATCGGGCGCCCCAGATAGAGGAAAAGGAGAGCGCCTGACCCTGGTAATGCGTCAAGGGCAATGCCAACGTGAAACCCGTATAGGGAAGCATTTAGTTAGGCGCTCAAGGCGTGGGGCTTGAGCACCTAACTGGGGGGCAATTGTTGGGGGGCATTCGCAAGGAGTCCGACGTGGCAACGAGACATGCAAGAAAGGGGTTATAAAGGAGCCCAGAGAGGAACGAGGCCCTAGTGGGCATGGGAAGCCCGAAGTCGGGGGCGTGGGAGTCCAATTAGTTGGGGTATAGGGTTTAGCCAAGTGCGCATGGAATAGTACGCTCCGTGAAGGCGCAGAAAGGGCCTTGCGAAGGTGGATGCCTGTATACATTAAGGGCGCCTGAAGCGTACCTCCGGAGGGAGGGACGAGACAGGCGCCTCGCCCGAAATAAGATATTAAATGTGATGCTGACGTGGAAGCTTGTACGGCCCAGCCAAGGTGAGTAATGAACAGTTATAAATACGGTGGTTGGCAAACATTTATGCGAGGTAGCTTCTCTCACTAAAAGATTTTTCTGTGAACAAGATACTTCTCTCTCTAAGAAAAAGGCTGACTTGAGCGTTGGAGGATTAACGGGCCACGAGGCCCACCTCTGTGTGTGCAGGAGAGTTCGGGGAGTCAGGATCTTGGCACGGAAACGGAGTGGACGGATCAAGGAGGCTTCAACAGTAGTGTTTAGGGGCGGAGCTAGGATCCAGTGGTCGGGGGCCGGACTTTATTGTATAATATCAGTAAAAAAATCAATATTTACATAGTGAATCATAAGCTTCAAAATTTAATTATCTAGACTCCGAAATTTAATTATCTAAATTAGAAAAATATTATAAGCTCCAAAATTTCATTATCTTGTTTGAACTTTGAAATTAAAAAGTATTTGAATAAGTACAAAAGTTAAGTGATCAGTCTAAATTTTAAACAAAAACTCAACAAAAGTAGGAAAACTAAAAACCAATGTTGCTGCCAGGGATTGAACCATGGTATTGGGTATTCACAAATACCAAGCAGCTGTTGCATTCCGTTAGACTAGACCGATACATTGTTACTCATTATTGCACGTTATTGTTATTCTACAATAGGTAACTTCTTCAGAATTTTCAAAATTCCCTATATTTGTACACTCGATCTCCAAAGTTCTGAAACTGTGCTATCTCCTTCAGTATACAGGTACAATGATAGTTAAAAAAAAGGAATGTAATTAAGATGAGTTTATAATTTCCAAAGATTATTAAATGCAACACGAATTTAATACAAAAAATAACTATAATTAATAGGAGTATCATTTTTCCAACTTCTTAAAAGAGTTAGCATGCTAATCGATGCTGTGGGAATTAGTTGATTAACTCCAATTGTAACCGCAATTTGCAAGTGACACTACTACTTACTGCATAAGGTTTAAGTAAATTATCAATCTGACTTTATTGGCTGTCAACACTAATTACCCTGCTACTGAAAACGACAACCCTAATAAAACCACCAATTAAGTTATTCTTAATTAATTACAGTTTGACAACAACTTAAGCCACCTTTTTGCCTAACGGCTACCACTAATTATATCAGGGGAATCTTCTTGTAACGACATTACTTGTTTTCTCCAAAAGCGAATTCACTTCCTTGGTTTCTAGTAAAAGTAGAGCTCAACGAGTGGGGGAAAAGGCATTGCAGTAAATGACAATGAGAAAAGCAACGAAGTGGGGAGGCCAAGAATCTGGCAATAGTTGTTTCCTTCACTAGCCAAGAATAAAGGCTAGTTAGTGACCATTCACGTATACATCCTTATTTCTGTGACAGAGTTTTGATAATTATATAAAAATGGTTGCAATATCATGATGATAAAGCAACGTTTGATTTTGTTATTAATTCATAACTTACCTAGTACGACTGATTGTCGTTGATGATATGGCAAAGAGTATAGTGAATGTCCGTATCATTTGTACCACGATCTTTTCATTCTCTTCAGAGTGATAAAGTTCCAACTGTGACTGAATTGACGAGACTAATGATTTAAAATCACATTGACTTAACTTTCTAATCACATTGACTTAAACTAAATAATAGAACTGTCAAGAATCAAGTCGATCACAATAACTCGAGTTGTTGGGAATAGGTTCAAACGTGTATCATATACCATTCACTAACAAGAACATGTTGGAATTAGTCAACAAGTCTGAGAAATACCAGATTTGAAGATGCATCATTGATGGTTTGTCTTAATTCCTACCAGCCAATTGTAGTGAAAACAAATAACACTCTAAGAAATGGCTTCATCGTGTTTTGTTTATCTACATCTCTAACACAACCTACTATTATTGTATTATTATATCATAAACACTTAGACATGAGAAGTATATACCATCTAGTTTTTATTCAAGACCAAATAACACATAAAACCTAAAGAAAACCTATAGTTCAGAAATCCTTGTAATATAATGTGGCATTTCTGTTCATAACGGACTAGTTCGCAAGCCTTTGACAAATAGTTTGCGAAGTTTACAAAGTAATGTTTACAAATGTCAATGTACATTTTATAAATTTCCCATGAATCTTATTAAATATTGAGTAACACCAACTCCCATTAGTACCGTTGTGCTACAATACAATTACCCTACTCCAAGTTTTGACGTGAGTGCCTTGTTCTTTTGTATAGACCATGGTTGTCTTGTCATGCCGGTGGCATGCCACCCGGTTGAACCTGGTTCAATCTGTGCCGGTCATGAAATCGGCATGACACCACCGGTATGACCGGTATGATCAACTTACGCATTCTAAGTTTAATAACATCATTTTAATGAATTTAATGAATAAAAATAATAATTTATTATTCATTTCATGAATGTAATAGTTAAAAGTTGATGATATTTGTTGGATTGTAACTAAATTGTCCACAAATATGTTTTATATATGATTAAATACATTGGATATTAATTGTTTCACATTTTTTTAAACCGGCACAAACTGGATATAATACCGGTCGTACCATTCCACTTGCCAAACCAGCACAACGGTATAAACCGGTTTGACAACCTTGGTATAGACGGCTCACGGCTGGCTCCAACTACACCCGCCCGCATATTATCGTTGCACACTTTCCCTTTACCCCACTTTGATTTTGACCCATCAAAACGCGGGTCAGTTTCTTTCTTTTTAAGTCCATTGAATTTCCAAATCTACCCCCGTGGTAATCCATAAATCCCTCCCGCTGCCCTCTGCCGTCTACATCAAGACAAAGCGAATCTTCTTCTTCTTCTTCTTCTTCCCCGCAACAGCAATATAACTGCCCGCTCCCCTCCCAGCCCTAATTCGTCCCAAGCCACCAAACACAAAACCCAACAAAAATCCCAAGGAGGAAGGAGAAAATTTGTATTGGTCGTGTGAGAAATCATCAGATGGGGAGGAATGACGGAGAAGACGACGGAATTAGAGGCGGCGAAGGCATAACCGCTGCCATGAGCCCAGCGAGCAGCCTCGCCGGCGACAGTGTTACCGGCGGCGCGGGAGGAGGAAAAGAAGGAGGGAGGAGGAAGAGGAGATCGGGATTGTGGCTTTTCAGGAGGCTGAAGTTCAACAAGGAGTCGCTTAGATGGAGGTGGAAGTTCCTGACCTCTGTTTTCAAGTGGAAGCGGGTCAATTTGCAGATTTCGCTCGTCGACGATGTCCTCTTCAAGATCGTCTCCGTTCTTGAGGCGATTGTGTTGGTAGCCACCCTGTCTTTCTTCTACCTCTGTTGCGGCTGCCACTTTTGATCATCAATTTCAAGAACTGGAGAGTTACCTTTCAAGATTCGGGGCTTTTGTTTTGTTTTCTTTTTTATGGGGGATGGGATCTTCCTCTTCTTCTGATCTTTTGATAATTGTATAATCGTATTGTATAGTCTTCTTCAAGCCGTAGAATTAGAACTCCATTTTTCTTCTTTCCACGTTTTCCCCCCTTCTTTCATTGTTCTGCTTCCCCGCCGCAGCCAGTAATTTATCTTTGATGATTTGATGTGTACACAATTGGTAAAATCTAACATTCTTGCATCTGGGTTTTCCTTTCCTTTTCATTTTATCCTTCCTCTGTATCTTTCCCCACAATTCACCTGGCCTCTGCTTCTGGGTTCGTTTTACAGTTTACAGGGGAGTCCGGAAACAGGGGATTGATTTTTCTCCAATTGCATTCTCTAGACTCGATCCAAATAGTTTTAGTGTTGAAATGGTGTGTTTTGGGTTTCCCGTGCTATGTAATTGAGCGTCCTAATTTGCACTTTTTTGGAGATTTCTTGTGCTCCGTAACTGTCAAGATGGCTCCAAGGGAAAAATCCACCTAGCAAACGGCCAAAAAACTGAGTGGGGAAAGCTAACGGAAAAAAGGGACCGGACGAGTTCTTTCTGCTTCATCGCAAGTTCGCGACCCACTGGAAGGAAGGTTGATCAACGGCCAGCGAAATAATGATAAGAAATAAGCCCTTGGAGAAAAGGCTAAAGTCGAGGTAGGGGACGACGTAAAATAGTTGGACCCATTAGCTGGCTTCCTTGCCCTGGACTGAGTTGTTTTGCTTTAAACTAACCTTTTTGTTCTATGGCGGAATAAGTAGCCAGACGGTCTACAGTTGCATTTTGTTTTCCTAATATGCATACAGCCGAACATTTGCAGGATTTTTCACAAATTGCAAGGTTGCTAAAAGATAATTGGGGTAATAGCATTTTGTATCTTGAATATTAAAATTTTGCACAAGCATATTTGTAATATTAAAACATAATGAATATACCTTTAAGTATAAAGTAAAATACACTTTCATAGTCATAACACTTTGTGACAAATATAGACAAATTCTGAAAAATACACAGAAATAGCCATGACTGGTCAAACGGTCGTATGTGGCCGCGTTTAATTTGGTCTACGTGACATGCCATGGTGGAAAATAAAATTAATTTTATTTATTTATTAAAAATTACCTTACTTTACCAAATTATTACCTTCTTTCATATTCACCATCCCCCCTTCTTCTCATTATCGAGAACTCTTCGCAGTAGCACCAATTCGCAGAACCCGAATCCCTGTTACACCTCGATTCCTCTTCGCCGGCGATTGTCAATCGACGAACACAGTCATCACCGTCGATCCATCTCGCTAATCGTTCTGCTCCATCTCGCCTCTGTCATCCGGTCCTTGAACTCCCCTCAATTCCCATCTCAATTGACGAACATAGAGGTAGCCATGCATCACCCCCCCAGGTTAATATACGACATAAACTTCGCATCCACTTGTTGCAGGTGAAGAGGAAGAGTCAGCGAAGGTCGAAACCATCGAATTCGACAAAACCCAGAAGACGAAGCGCGAACTGTAATTCGATTGTCGCGTCATCAGCTTCTCGTCTCGTAGTGTTTTGGTGAGTACTCCTTGCCATTCTGTTATTCCTCGCCTCTGTTACTCCTTACCTCTTTTTGTGTTGTTGAATGGGAATGGTGGGAACCCTAATCCGTATGTGTTCTTTTATAGGAGAAACTAAGCTGTAAAGTGGGAAAGCGATGCGACAAGGGTTTGAAGGGACCACAAGGAATCTGTTGGTCGTGAGATTTCCCCTACATCATACGACAAGAAGCTCAAAGTTGTGGATAGAACCGTCATTGTAGTATGACTAATTCATTGCTTTGAAATTGACAGAACCGAATTCCACGTCTTTAATGCCACGTTGTTATGATGCTTTTTCTGTTAGTAATTTGTTTATAGTATTAGTAACTAATCATTATTTAATTAAGCTTAAGGGTTTTCATTTAGTAGATAATCACTTCAAGTTAAATTCAACAAATGGCCGATGCTTGGGACAAAATGATCCAAATCAGATTGTTTATGAAGATGCTTCATTGGAAACAGATGGCGATGCAAATGCATCCACTCCACGAGATATCTACCACATTTACGACTCTGATGATGCCATGACCTCCGATGATGAGTATCACGAAGCTAGGGCTCAAGTATGTTCCTATGGGGAAGGGAAGAGGAGGAAGGTGAATGCAAGGGCCTCTGTCGATGGGGAAGAGGTAGATCAGCTTGAGGAGTTTGAGGAAGAAGAAATTAAAGACGAAGAGGAGGAAGGAGAAGCGGCAACAACCGAGGGTTCACAGCATACAAAGGCACCTCCACAACCACCTCAGCAAGCTAGTGGAGAGGGTTCACATCATTCGAGTTATAGAGGATCTGAGGAGTCTGACCACGTCAGGCCAAACTTGTCAGATGAGGAAGGTGGTGATCTGGACGATGATGCACCACATTACGATCCCACATGTGATCACAAGGATTTACGGTTTGTATGCAAAATGAAGTTTGCTAGTGCAGAGCATTTCAAGGATGCTGTGGTGTGGCATGCTGTGACAGCTGGTGTTTGCCTGCGACAAGGAGGGAGGTGAAGTGCAAAGATGGCAACTGCAAGTGGAAGCTTTATACTAGCTGGGTCAGGAGGAACAAGTGTTTCATGATCAGGAAAGTGGGACTGCCACATTCCTATGCAAGAAGTCCCCGAGTTAATCAAGTTACCGCCAATCAGATAATTTCTGTCATGCTAGAGAGGTTCAGAATTAACCCAACATGAGCACCAGATCAGATTATGGCCGAGTTCAAGTTAAAGGACAACATGGATGTCAAGAGGATAACTTGTTACGGAGCCAAAGTTGCAGCTATTAAGAGGGTCCTTGATTGACGAGTACAAGGGCCTCCAAAGTTATGTGACTGAATTAATGAAAAGAGATCCAGATAGACGGTTCATTCTGGAAGTAGATCCACATCCCGATGGTGATAAATGTTACTTCTGATGCCTGTTCATCGGATTCTCTAGCTTGAGGATGGTTTTTTGCTTGCTTGTTGACCTATGTTTGGGCTAGACGGTTGTTTCCTCAAGGGCGAAGTGAAGGGTATGCTTCTTTCCGCCGTTGGGAAAGATGGAAACACTAAATGTTTCCAATTGCATGGGCTGCGGTGGAAGGGGAAAATACCAACTCTTGGCGATGGTTTGTCCAACTTGTAACTCTAGAGTTGTCTAAGAGAGATGGAAGGGGATGGACAGTGATCTCGGACCAACAGAAGGTATGGCTGGCTGATGTCTTTTAAGTGCTATTTCATTCCTTTTAGTGTCCGTGTTATGCACTAATTAGAGTTGTTTCTCCGCATGGTTGATTGAGACGATACATGAAATTCTACCCGAAATTAAGCATAAAAAATGTGCTAGACACGTGTTACGTGTATGCTAATTGGAAAGCAAAAAACAAGACTGATCGGGGTAGGAAGCTGTTCAGGAAGGTTATGTATGCTTGTAACGAGGTGGATTGAAAAAAACACTAGTGAAATGGAGGAAATCCAAGGTAATGGAGATGAGTTTACACCTGACACTGATTTTATGGCTGCTGAACCAACCCATTTCTGTCAAGCATTCCTCTCCCCAGTCTCTAGGTGAGATTCTATTGAGTCTAACATTTGCGAGACATGGAATGGGAGCATTGTGAAGTATAGGGGATTCCGCATCATTGACATGTTAGAAGGAATTAGGGGGTACATGATGGATATGGTGTTATTAAACACATGATGCTGCTAGAGACTATGTATATTATTTGTCCTAGGATTAGGAAACGATTGGATAAGGACAAAGAGTTTGCTAGGTTGTGTGTGTCTAGACATGCTTTGCTTGATAGATGTGAAGTGAAGATGGCAGCTGAAAGATATATTGTGGATCTGAGTGCAAGAGAATGTACGTGTGGGTACTGGCAGCTGAGTGGCCTCCCATGTTATCATGCAATTTCTGCTATCAGCCACTTGAGGAAAGATCTAGATGATTTCGTTCATCCTCTTTACCATGCACATCATGTGTCCAAGGCATATAAAGTAGGTCTGCATTGTCTTGATGGTAGACAAGCGTGGCCAGCTGCTTTTGATTATGACGTCCACCCTCCTAAGGCTAGAGCCATGCCTGGCCGACCTAAAAAGAACAAGAGAAAGCCTGGAGCTGAGTTGGAGACGAGACCACAAAGAAGAGGTGAGGGTGAGGAAGTCAATAGGCGAGGGAACTTGATCTGTTGCTCAAACTGTGGAGCTTAAGGCCACAACGTGAGTTCGTGCAAAGCACCTCCTGCTGCCCGACAAGCAAGGGTACGATTCAGATGTTATTATTTGTTGATTTTACCTAATAATATTGAAGCAATACTAAGTGCGTTTAGAATTGTCTATTGTCATTGTTTTGAAGGTCAACAATTCTAGTCAAAGAGGAAAGCGAGCTGTTGTCCAAAAAGAAGGTAGCAATGTGAGGACCAAACGTGCCAAACACTTCTCCAAGTGTGGACGACCATATCATAATTCAAGGACATGCCCATTGAATACGGGTTTAGGGATACAGGTAAGTCTGCAACTAGTCTTTTTACTCAAGGATGTGAGAATGGTGAAAGGCTTCATAACTGTGAACTACTCTTTTTTGTCAAGGATGTGAGATTGAATGTTGGCGATCGAGCTACCGTTGAAAGGGAACCATGTCGTGCAACTGCTGGAGTGGGTGTTTATGTTGATGAGAACATGAGAACCAATATGTTAGGGTGAGTGGCTTGAATTATAACGGTGGGAATTGTTGAAAATAAACTGCCTAAGTACTTACTCGAACTTGTTCCAACTTTTGCAGCTGGATGAGGCTAATGGCCACCCTCATGGAGATCAACCGCTAGTTCCTTTAACCCAAGCTTCTGTGGTGGACTTGCATGGAAGTCTGCCTCCACTAACTCAGCCTTAGAACTCATGAAAGCAAGCATTTGAGTCATTTTTTTTTTGTACATGCCAACAACTAAGATTGTTAGGTTCTGTTTTGGTCAACTCGTGTAAAGGCTATAAGAAGTCCTAATGAATGATAACGCTTTCTGTTAAGTGTAGTGTAGCTGATAGTCTTGCAAACTCTTTCTGTTAGGTGTAGTGTAGATGAAGTAATGCAAACTCTTTATGTTAGGTGATGTTATAGTTCAAAAACAACTAACTGAAGTACATCAATTTATGTAATGAAGGCTAAGTAATGCAGGTTTACCCCACCAACATTCAAGTGGGATCTTATGGCAAATCCCGTCCAACCTAGATCCCGCAACTCCCATTTCTACACTCCGCCAGTGAGATAGCACCCCTCCAATCTATCGAAGCCACCTCCACATACTTGGGTTTCCCCCATCTGAAATCGGATTTGTACACGTGGAACCTCGGGGACCCCAGCGATCCCGATAAACACGCCTCGACAAGCCTCTATATTCTTGACGAAGGTTGAAGCATCCTAGAATTCATCAGTAAATAATACAAATATAGTTATCTATAAGAGATAAAGAAGACACCACCACAGATGATGAAACCTCAATGGTGAAAGCATCTTTTTTTTTTTGGAGTGAAAGCATCTCATTATTAATTAACGCATACAAAGTAGATACATGTGTATAATCAAACAGATTTAGGTTGGATTGTGAGAAAACTATAATCACCCACCACCCGCAACATTCAGGTTAGAATTTTCCCCATACCCATAAAAAACCATTTGGATTCGGGTTTTTATTCTACTCTTTTATATGGTTAAATTTGTCCTTTCGAGCCGCTGCAAGAAATGTGGTGTATATGATTTAATTTTATGGTGATGCAAGATAGTACATTAAATTTGATTCAATATAATGTAATTTGGCGTTGGTTATTTACACCATGTTCAGTTTTTACTTTTTAGTGCATTGTTTCTTTGTACTTATTAATCAATATAACAAATAAGAAAAACCAAAGTGAATGCAAATTAGAGATTAGTTTCATTAGTATGAGGAAACCAACAATCATTCCAACATCTCAATCTCTAACACATTAAAAACAACACTTGAGAGGATTTGATTTCAATAGTTATATTTCAAACCATCCATCCCATCATCACGTTTGTGCCTATCAAATGGTTCCATCTCAAACCCGCCAAGATGATGCTCATCTTCTTCCCCAGGAACCTGCCACTTCCCAAGATGCTCTCTCGAGTGCTCCGATGGCTCGTGCACATCTACCATATGCTCGCGCCGTTGATCCCCCAACTCCTCTGATTCTTCCTCCGGCCCGATGTACTGTTGCACGATCAGAACAGAGCTCCGCGAATCGTCCATCGAAACGAGCGAGTCCCCAATCGGGCCGAGCTCTGGATACTCGCACCAGTCCAACAGAGCAGCCGTCAGAGGCTGCAGGGCACCTTCCCCTTTCCCCACCAAGAACAAATCAATCTGTTGTGTTGTGGCCATTTCTCTCAAGAAGAACACCACTTCCTCCTCCCCATTCACATCCTTCTCCTCGTAGTGGATCATCTCTTGCCCCGCGGATCTCAGCCTGAATTCATTCAAGCACATTTGGTCAAGCTTTCTCTGCCTCTCTATGTAGGCAGACGCAGTCACAAGGCCACCGAACTCGCCGGCTGTGCCCTGGATGCCATCCATATCGTCACCCCCATGATTCGATTCCAACATTCCCGATTGAAATCTTACAACGCGCAGATTCACCACCCCACTCGCTCCCATCCTCGAAGCGTAAGCCAGAGCCTCGCGATCATCAGGCCCGCCGAAGAACAACATTGCAACCTGCCGCTTCAGGGAAGAATCCTCATTCTGGGTTTCCCCAAACCCTCTGTCCACAAACAGTCCTACGGTGCAAGGAGCATTTGCCAGCACGTTCAAGTTGACCCCTCGAAACGAGGTGCTGCCTTCTTCGTCGAGCTTCCCATCTCGAGTCGGCGGCTTGTGGAAAGGCAGGATCACGAAGCTCACCCTCCTGTCCTCGGCCAGGCTACATATGTCGTCGTGCATCGTGACGAAAGGGGACAGCGCAGTCAGAGGGTGCATTTCGATCGAGTCGTTGAGGCTAGCAAAAGTGTCTAGTGCAGTCAGGATTTGTTCAGAGTTGGCGTCTTTGCGCCCTGCTCGACTCTTCCCCGGATGGTGGATGATCAGCATCGCGGAGGCTCGACCGGTGAGCTCAACGAGGTGGAGGGCGAACACGTTGAGAGGGGATTCTTTGGTTGTTGCAGAGGAATCGAAGAGGTTGATCATCCCTGTTATGTTGTAGGGGCCATGGAAGCAAGCCAGGACTCTGAGCTCGGATTCTGCTCCTTTTGCTTGTTGGATCGTCCTCTGTTTGTAATGAGACAGACGCTTGGCCGGTCGGTACATGTTGGCGATGATCGGCCCTGTAGCCGCAGTCATGACTGCAATGGAAAGAACTAGTGTTGCGTACTCATAGCTAGACAAAATCTGCACATAGTCCGATTGAATAAATTAGAAAAGATTTTCTTCGTAAACCGCAGCTAATTAGGCGATAACTCAAGTTGTTAGAAAAGTTCTGTATGTAATTGTGTATGTATCTTAACCACTTCCATACATACACAACTAGACAAAATCAACATAGACGAATGATAATTAGGAAAAACAAATAGTATAAGTCAACCGGTTCCAATAACTCGAATTGTTAGGAAAAGTTGTGTATGGATATTAACCACTTTCTCACACACGCTCGCCGTCAAACGAAAGCAAGATCATGAGCTTCAAGTTTGCAGAGGTCCACCATATACCATATGCTTTAAGACAACGCGGTGAATATTTAAGATCGTGAAAAGCTGAACACGTGATCTCAAGAATTAACCAGTTTTGATACAATGTTATAAACAAACTAGTCCTAATAACTTTGAATTGTTGGAAAATTTACATAGAATCTTAACCATTTCCAAATTCAAATCCGCACAAAAATAAAAATTACTGACCTTTTTATCTATGGCCAAGTTTGCCATGAACATGGAGATGATCCCTTTGGTATTAGAAATCAGCCCAAGAGCGAAAGCATCCCGCCGTGGGATCTTATACCTAGAAGTGGTGATCATAGCTCCGATGATCTTCAACGAGCAACATATCAGAATCGTGAACGCCGGCCCTGCCCAATTGCTATTGACCTCCTTCAGGTTGATCTTCAACCCACAGGTGACAAAATACAGAGGAAGCAAATACCCAGACATGAAATCCTCAAACTTATCCGCCAGCATCCCGGCAATCACTCTGTCCGGCATGATAACCCCAAAAACAAAAGCTCCGACCAGCGACCCTGTCCCCAGCACCTCCGTAGCACAGGCGAACAGCGAAACAGAGACCATGATGAAGCTCAGGTAGTGCTCGTTGACGTTGTTCCTGTGAGCGGTGGTGCGGCGGATCAAAAGGGCCAGAACAGGGCGAACCGCGTAGACGCAGAACAGTATGAAGGCGACATTGGCCAGAGCAGAGTAAACCGCATTCAAGAAGCTGATGGTGTAGGGAAGCAGAATGATGACGAACGCCCACCCGACCAGATCCTCGACGAGAGCGCACGACATGGCGAGCCTGCCGAGATCGGTGTGGATTAGTTTGAGCTCGACGAGGATCCGGGAGACGACGGGGAAGCCCGTCATCGCGAGCGGGGCCGCGAAGTAGACGAACTGGCTCTGGTTGCTCTCCTCGTCCGGGCGGTTCTTGTGTATCATGAGGAAAATGGCGATACCGGCGACGAGGGGGAAGAGGAAGCCGAAAGCGGCGACGTGGATCGCTTTCTTCCCTGCCCGGAGAACAGAGGCGACGTCTGTTTCCAATCCGAGCAGGAAGACGTGGCAGGTCAAGGCCCAGTATGAAACCGTTTCCAGCATCATCAGCGCCCTCAAAGGGAACATCTGCTGGAAATAACCCAGGTTGCCTAACGCTGTTGGGCCAATTAAAATCCCTCCCTGTAAAACCGTCGTCAAGATAGAAACTTCAATTGATCGGTGGTCGATTTAAAGACATCCCATTTTGATATATTTCGTGAAAACAAGAGGTTTACCAAGATATTGGCGACGATTGGGGGAATGTGGTATGGCTTGAAGATGTATTGGAGGACGCGAGTGATGACGATGACGGTGGCCAGCTGCATTGCCAAGATGGGGAGAGATTGAGTGAGCGGATTTTCACTCTGCCATAGCCCGCTGCTGGAAGTGACATTCACAATGTAGCAATGGATGCCGGGATGATCCGGCGAGCGGTACAAGTTTTGCTCCGCGTTTATATCCATATTTCCTTCTTTCTTTCTATCGAATCAATGAGATGAAACACAGGGAAGAAATTCTCTGCCTGTGACGAACCCTCCTCCAAGCTTCCTTGATAGGGCAAGAAGCGATAGAGGACATGGGAAATTGAGGAGGAAGAACCATAGGAAGAAGATGGGGAGGAAGAAAGGAGGGAGGAGGAATCGTTTGGCATAACTGAAGACTGTTGGTGAGAGCAAAAGAATCCATTGGTGCTCCGATGAATTGGGATGGTTTTCAAAATTGTTCAGATTTGTTGGTTCCGTTAGCATATGTTTTATGTTATAAGTTAGGCCGTAAAGCTTGTGCGGTTGAAAAGTTTTCTCTCTTTTTCTGCTTTCTTCACACGACACACTGTTGTATCAAAACTCGAAAATTGTGTCTCGCAAGTCGCAACCAAACATCTGTAACCTAACCATATGTGCCTCAATGAATTGAGAAAACTGATATAACCAATTACCAATATTTTCCTGCAATCCAGGCACTATGTATCCATTTTTAACCTTTTAGCAGTACCATGTACTGAGATTTTATCTATCAGGGTCTCTTATTTTTCTTCAAATCTCAGCAGTATTGTAATAGGGTGAAACGTTTCACACATCTTCTTTGAAACGTCTTCATCTTCGTGATCTACTTCCTGCAATAACCATTGCTACTGCTGCTGGAAGCTTTGCAGGGAGGAGCGACTTCATGTGGAATTGGTGAAGCTTGCTAGCTATTGCTCTGAGTCCCTGACTTCTCTCCCGGTAAATGCCTTTGCTTGACGGGGAAACTTGATGTGATAAGATTTCTTCCGTGGAACTAAAAACCGATAAACCGGGCTTGGTTTGCAGGTGGAGATTGGGAACTATGATTCGTTTTATGACGCTGGATCATTATTTTCTCCCGAGCAGGTACTGAGCTCTGGTATCATGCTAACTTTAACCAAATAACTTGAACTGTTGGAAGTATACCATACGTGGAATTTCGTATCATTATCGTTCGGAGGTTACTTGCGCTCAAAGTCTCATCTATCAGCACCCTAACTTCTGTTCAGTTTGTTTGCAGATACTAAACCTGACTGCAAAGACCTGGAGGATTCTTCCTTACGGTTCCACTATCAGTCACTATGCCTCATACACATACACTTAGCCTCCCTGACCAGGTACATGAATCAATATAATGGTCCTCCTATGGTATTCGTTTCCCTTGTTAAGCCAATTCATGGCAATGGCCGACCACACAGATCAAGCTAGCAGAGCTATTGGAACAGGAAGGTGTAGGCATCGCGCAAATCCTTCGAAATAGGGTGTTTCTCGGGCTGATAGAGAAGGTTACGTACTCATAAGCTGCTCGTCACTCTCACCGTCTGTCTGACCAACTTTGCGGTTTGAAATAATGATGGTTATTGTTTACAGGCAATGCCCAGCTTAGAAGCGGCATACCCAATCTCGAGAGTGGTGAAGATCCCTGTGATGTGTTCATCTGGACTCGGTGTAGTAACCGCGCCAATGGCCATCACGGCAGGAGCCTCTGGTGTGGTACGTATTTAGCAGCCAGCCTCATTTCGTTAGATCCACGGCTCTGACACTTGGATTCCAGAGATGTTAATCGAGGGGAGAACTAACGCAAAGAGTGTTTTGTCATTGCGAATGTGATTGCAGGGTGTGGGCTCAGCTATCAACAAGCTTAATGATGTAGTTGCCATGATTGCACAAGTAAGAAGCACTGCAGCTTCTTTAGGCATTTCAGCTGATAAAAGTAGCTTAGCTGATGAAAAAATCGTCAGTGTAACATAACAGTGCTCAGTTCAACAACCATGGGGTGTGTGTATGGATAGCCGGGTACAATAGAAACGAGATAATTTCCTCTATGAATGCCTATTTCAGCACAGAGAAGCTTGTCATAGAAACACAAATGAAATAGAATAGGGAGATATAGATTAGCCACCTATTGATTCACCACAGAGAAGTTTGACAAAGGAACACAAATAAAAGAAGGCAGTGACACGAGGATTTCCTACAGAGAAAACTGAATTCAGGACACTTTAACACCAGAGTCTCAACTAGGCTTGATTTAAGTAATCACATAGTTTTTTTTACCTTGTCACCCCTACAAAACTATGTTTCCATTTACTTCAATGATAGTCCAAATTAGTTGTCATATGCACAACAAATCATCTACCCATTTACACAAACAACAAGGTATTGATCACAAAAGCGATGTACAACTTCTCTATCCCTGTACTTAATAGCTTGTGCCTGCTGAAGTATTGGTACCTGAATACAATAGCCCTAGATGTAATCTTCGGAGTCATCATCAGTGTCTTCCTGTTCACCACTTTCCTGCAGAAAATTACTCTTTTTAAGATCATAGACATTATAATTAAATTAGCTTAAGATGGGTGGGTGACAGTGGGGAATGGTTTACCTTTTTCTTTGTGTAATCCTTCAAGGCACTTTCAAACTCTGCTCTTTTCTGGGTGGCAATATCATAGTACTTAACTTTTTCCTACAACAGGCAGAAAATAAAACTTTAAGCTAATTCTGAGGTAGCTTGGCAGGAATTGCTCAAGGAAATGCCGCAGAGGATGCTAAAACGAATAAGATAACATAGCAGAAGTTGGCAGAATGGCAAAAGGTTCTATAGTTACAAGTACATGTCAAAACAACTAATGGAGCTGGTAGAGGCTTCAAATTGCAGGTGGAAAAGTTTGGTAGTGTTGTTGTCATTGCCATAGACACAAATAAGATCTTAAACCGCAGCACAACTCCAATAAACTGACTACAAGGAAGCCTTGGTTAAGAATAGCCAGAGAAGAGAGGCTATGGAATTCCACAGGAGATGCTTCAAGCGAACACAACTGGAGCAATGACAATGTGACTGGAGAGTGAGAAGTGAAAGCGAAATCATACAGCAGGAGCACTTTCCTCTCAAGACAGACAAACCTACAAACCTATTGTTCAGTCTCCACATTTATGCAGGAAGTCTTGAAACATTATTTGGGGTTATAAGCCATTAACAAAGATGAAAAGCACTTCTATCTGCAACCTTAGAGTCTCTGTCAAACTAAATTGTGGTTGGTTCACTACTCACAACAAAATGACTGAGGCTTTCACTTAATTATGAAACCTAAGCAGGAGAAAGAAAGGAAGAGAACCGAGCAGAGATATCATTAATCATAGAGCAACATGAACTGCACCTCATATGTCATTGTTTTCCACTTCTCCCCACATGCTTTGCCAATCTGAAACAGAAAAGGGCAAAACAGTATGGCATCAGGGGCAGAACAAAAGAACTGGAACAAATGAGTTGAAAAAACCCAGTGTGCATGAATAGACTTACCTCACGCATGGACTTGACATCTGGATTCTGCTCTCGAAAGTCTTTGCGAAAATCTTCCCTTCAGATTCAGAAAAGAGAACGAATTCAGCATAGTCGAGCAAGCTGCGATAGTTACAGCATAGAAGAAATGACAATTCGATCGAGCCACTCCAAAGACTAAAGGTAGTGCAGGAATATCTTGTCGGCCAAAACAGCTCAACCAAGCACAAATCAATACTATGATCAACTTAACACAAAAGAGTGGATGTCGAGAAAGACACTCCTTATCGTGATGATGCAGAATATGCAAACACCCTAAATCGTCGACAACAGACATCAAATCGAACTTTCAATTCAGCTTCCTACAGACTATCGACTAACATTGAACTCTCAATAATCCAGTAACAATCCAGCCATCGTAGTTGATCATATCAGTAACAATGCAATTTCCTGATAGCACCCTGTACCCCCTCAATGGAATCATATCTTGCTGCTCTCCATTGGAGCCTTAAGAATAGTAGTACAGCATGAAGCAAGGGATGATAAGCATGTGATTTTGTGTAGTCAGACGAGCAAAACACTGAACCAGTTAAGTTGAAGGTCTTACTTGGGAAGGGGGCCAAGCTAGCGACTCTCCAGCCAAACAGATGTCAGATAATAGAAGCAAAAAAGGGGGCAAGCTAGCGACTCACAAGTAAAAGAAGAAGGCAGTTGGCGGCTTCTTGGGCATTTTAGTGTCGACCTTGTCGAGTTTCTTCTTCGGCTTCTTCTTCGTTATGGACCTCGTTCCAGTCAGTTTCCTGTCGAGCTCGCTGCTCAACGTAACTTGTCTAATGGAATTCCTCGCTCCCTCGCCGCATTTAATTCTCAACACCATCCTCCTGGAACCAGAGAAATTTTATACAGACAGCTCTCAGCGATTGATGCTTAACAGCGGAAAGTAAGGTAAGCAGTAATCACATAATCTGTTGCTCGACGTTCGTGATTCGAAGATTTTCTCGGCGGCCAAACGGGAAAGGAAGCGGGTGCGGAAGGAAATGGAAGAATTTTTTTGCACGAAGTAGTGAAGTCGGGCTCTCGGAGAGAAGGAAACTGAGCTTACCGGTTCGAGTCGGCGGCGGGTGTTTCACCGGAAGCTGAGGAGGCCGGAGAAGAAGAAGGAAGAGAAGAGGATTTCCTCGACTTTGAAGTTTTCTTAGCCACCATGGCCGTTCTTGCTTTCTTAATCTGTGCTTTCCCTTCTCTGCTTCGCTTCAGTTCTGAGTTCTGACCTTCGTGCTGTCACTTGTCAGCTGGATGGTCATTTGTCCCCGTTGGTGTATGCCAATTCGAACCGCTTGTGCAGATAGCATCTACGACACCGTTTCTCAGAGTATATAGAAATAGAAGATCGGCATCGGTCAATTCGGTAAAAAAAAAAAAACAGATTGAATTGGAATAAGAATATAAGATTGAACCAAACATGAGAATTAGAGCCAAAAAAAAAAAGCATGTCTGCTTAATCTATTCGGTACACACAAAAAAAAAATCATCCCATTTTTCTTCATATTTAGGTGGGCAACGTGTTAGAAACAGAGGGACGAGGGTATTTGTACGAAAGCTCGAGACTGGGTGACTAGGATTGTGATAGAGTCGTGAACAAAGTTCACTTTCCGTAAAGAATATTTCCACCCTCAATCAAGCCTAGGGTTACAGGAAATTTCTTCGTAGGATAAAACTACCACCACTTTAGAATCTAGGCTTAAGAAACTAAAGCACACTTAGAACTTTTAGTAGGAAGAAGAATGAATTTTTTTTGGTGTGTGGTGATCGTCTACCTTTACCCATGACCCATCCAACCATCTCTATTTATAAAGACCGAAAAGGCATGTTGCATCAAAGCGAAGAGATGTCTCTTCATGAAGCATTGCCTCCATCCGTTGCCATTATCAACATTAACCACCATTTCAAATAATGAAACGTTACATGGAATCACTAAAACCCATGAAAGGTAGCTAATCCATGCATAGTAAGTGAAGGCAACGTGGAGCACATGGCAAATGTTGCATGGAATAATTTAAATTCAAATTGACCCAATTCTAAAGCGTTTTGCATCCGACCAAATTCCAAACATGGTCTTGGTTGGTACGACCGGTTTAACCCATAATATTTGGTTCGACCAAATTTCCAACATTCCTCCCCCATTTTAGTGTATTCAAAAAATTCACTAAAATCACAACACTCAACCTTCTTCCAACAAAACTTAAGCATAAATGAAAATGTCGTGACGATTGAATTTTCACCTTAATATATTACACTTGACAAATATTCGAATACAAAGGGTGTCGGTAACGATTGAACCCATTGACTCATATGAATATTCGAAGATAATATACACTTAAGTTTTCAAAACTTCATAAGCGCCTTGACACTATTCTCCGCCATGTGTCCAATCCTTCTCATAAGTGCACACGAAACCAAAGTCCGGGTTTCTTGAAGCGGCTACACTTCATGCTTACATAGGTCGAACCTTTATTTTGTGTACCTGCACAATACACTTTGTCAAAGATTCAATTAAGAAGTTAAACTTCATCCTCTTCTCTCATGCAGGTCAACAAGCACATACCTCGGGATGATGCATTGTGTGCTTCAATTTCTGATAATGAGCTTTCCTCATTGAATTCAACCTCTAACGTTGTATTAGAGGGGAATTGGGTGTCCCATGATCAGAAATGATATGGACTTTAAACCCATCCCTTTCACAGACTTGACTACCAAGTCTCTAGCTAACCCTTTCGTCAAATGATCAGCTAAATTCTCTTGAGTCCTGACATACTGTAAAGACACAACTCCGTGAGTGATCAATTCACGAATTTTACTATGTCTTACTCCCAAATGGCGAGACTTTCCATTATACATATGACTATATGCCTTAGCCAAAGTAGCATTATTATCACAAAGGATAGAAATTGGTGAGATTGGTTTAGGCCATAAAGGGATGTCATAAACCAAGTCTCTTAACCTCTCTGTCTCTCCATCGGCAGAAGCCAAGGCCACAAATTCTGACTCCATAGTGGAACTTGTGATGCAAGTTTGCTTTTTAGAAGCCCAAGAGATAGCACCTCCCCCAAGCAAAAAGACCCATCCTGAAGTTGAAGCATGATCTTATGATCTTGAACATAAGATCGGGCGCGAGACAAGTCACAAAGGAGGTCACACGGGCTGCCCTGATATTCACACGGCCGTGTGAAGTAATGGCCTGGCCGTGCGAGTTTTGCCGAGAGCACACACGGGCAGAGCAGAGGATCGACACGGCCGTGCAAGTGGCCGGGTTGGCCGTGCCACATTTTGTGAGAGCAAACACGGGCAAGAGGGGATGTCCACACGGCCGTGCCATTCTGGCCGTGCAAAGAGCCTGGAATTCGAACTAAATGAAACGATGCGTTTTGACTCACACGGGCAACTGGGTGAGCTGCACGGCCGTGCCACCCTGGCCGTGTGAGTCGGGATTTTCTCCTTTTAAGCAGAATTTCAGCCACAATTCGGGGGGATTCGGGTTTTTGAGAAAGAGAGCGATTCCTAGAGAGAGAAAGTGACGAGCAAGAGTTCCCAAGTGCCCTAGATTGATCTTCAACACCATTGGAGGCCAGCTTGAGCTTGGAGAAGTGCCGATCAACGTCCAGAAGCGGGAATCCATCCTTCGCAGTATGAATTCCGTGTCTGATTCTGCTTTTGCTTTCTTCTCTATGGAGTAGTTCTCCCATTCATCTGGGTATGGAGAACCCTAGATTTGTGTGTTAGGCTTTGATTGTATGAACCCAAGTACTGATTCTGTGATTGATTATATTCGATTGAGGTTTTAATGATTGAATGACTTGAATCCTGATCAAATTCCTGTTGTTTCTGCTTTAACCTAGAATGAGAATATCTGCCTAGGTTAATAGAGTATCCTTGATTGAAGGTAGGGAGTTGGTGACTTTAGTCGAGGAACCAACTCACTATTCTGTACCGGATTTACTCCGGTAGTGGAGGTTTTGTTCTTAGGGCCTCAATCTGTCTACTCCGGTGGAGGTTAGTCGCCCGCTAGAGATTCAGATTGAGAGGGTCTGAAGACCTTTAGTCGAGACTTCAGGCTGTTTAAGAACCTTCCGCAGTATAATCTTCATAGAAACTGAACTTGGTAATTACAATCCGGCTTAACTGCAGTCTAGGGGGAACCATATCCGGGTCACCTCTCTTAACTTGAATACAACCGTTTACCTGCTTTGCTAGTTTGTTAGTTAGACTTGCATTCCAGTTTCATTGCTAGATAACAAGAATTCACTGAGTAGTCATCAGATCTAGGACCCGGGTTGATAATTAAACCTAAACCCGCTATACTACGCTTTAGGAAGTGGTTACACTTGGCCAATTCCTGGAGTGACAGTAGAGTCGAGTCAGCTAACGTCGTTAGCCAGGACGTTGTTAAACGCTTAGGGCTGAGTACAAGTCGACATCCAATGCCCTATATGTTGCATTGGCTTAACGACTACGGCACAATTAAGGTTCAACGAAAAGCGCTCGTCAAATTCAAAATCGGCAAGTACAGGGACGAGGTGTTGTTTAACGTCGCCCCAATGCAAGCTACCCATCACCTTCTAGGCCGACCGTGGCAGTTCGATAGAGGGGTCTGTCATTATGGTGGTACGAATTGCTACAGAGTTCAACATGGCGGGATGAAATTTCTGCTACAGCCCTTGTCGTCGGTAGAGGTTCGCGAAGATCAATGACAAATGGAAGCTGGTCGACGACGGCTAAGAGAGGAATCCAGCGGAGCCAAGGTCTCGGAGTCTCGAAATGTCAACTTGGTCGTCCGAAGGTTCATGCTAAATGGTATCACAAACCGATAACACCTCGCTGTCGGCGACCCTGTCATTTGGCTTCGAAACAGGGGAGGAGAGAAGGAGAATATGGTAGAGGCCCCCGGGTCAATTCGAAACTCGGCAAAGGTATGGACACACTCTATGAGGCTCAGGAATGCTTACCCACAGGTTGGATTGGTTCAAAATCCCCCAAATTGCGGGATCCTACTCGAGCCCCATCACCTCTGCCAACACTCCAACGTGGGCAAATTCCAAGCAAATGGGTTTGAGCAACTGGGACCACGACAACGCCAATTGACATCACAGGTCGATTGGAACTTGCTACCCGAAGCTGTAACCAACTTCAATTGCACGATCGGGTCCCTAGCGCTGAAACACCCAAATCGAATTCATCCAACCAGGAGGAAGAACTTTTGAAATTTGAACATGGCGGGAAACGAAGGTCTCGCAACTCGGGGAATATGATCACTTGTCGAGCACTCCAACCTCTCTAGAAATGTAATTCGATGTATGACGAAGGGCGAGGGATTGACGAATCTTGCTGGGGATGCTTTGATTCAAAAGCCCCATTGGCGATCATGAAGAACAATGTTGACTCAAGCTGCCAGAAAAAGGATTTCGCACAGGCTACTTTCGATCCAATTTGGAGCTCGTTTTGTGAGCAATTCGAGAGAAGGAAGGCCAAAGTGTTGAGGCCAACACTTTTCAAGAGATGGGGCCTGATATGACCCCAATTGGACCTTTGGAGAAGCTACAACGAATTGAAACAAAAGTTGCTTCGATCCAAGAACGAGACCATCAAAATTGGATAAGTCCTTTACTCGTCTCAGGTAGGGTACTTTGCAAGTCTGGTCGACACGCGAGGATTGATGAAAATGGGAGCTTGGAGGTTTGTTTTGAAGTTGAAGTGTCGGACTATGCAATGGTACAGTTGGGAGCTCAGTTTCAATTCCAGTAGACCATTTTAAAGACGTTCTAAAACGGTATGGTAAAACTGGAAATCTGTCAGGAAATTACTAAGGCAAAAGGCATGTCTGAGCTAGCTACTTTGAGGGTTAATTTGGAAGAGGTTGTTGTGAACCACGTTACGCGAATGGTTCCACATCAAAGTACAGGTTTCAGGCTACAACGACAAGGAAATTGTTGATCAGTTTGGGACTTGGAAGAGCTCGTACGAAGAATCCAAAGATCGTACTAAGGCCGCTGAATTCTGACTTTGGAAGCTGTAATTCGAGTCCTTGTTGGAGTAGGACTTTTAGCTGTTTTGGATTTTTGTTCTTTCCTTGTTAGTTTGAGTTTCTATTTAAGTGTAGGACGTTTATTTCTTGTCGGCTAAGTAGCTAGAGTCTATTTAAGCATTGTTTACATTATAATTCAATTCACGTTTTATGAAAAGAACACCTTTGTTCATTGAGTTTGTCTCATAAATCTGTCCTTGGTTTGATTGGATTGAATCCATCAATCGAGCAAGCTCAACATCAATTGAGTAGCCACCTCAATTGTGGACGAGTTGTGACCATTGTCGATCGAGCCTCTTCCCCAGTTTTGGACGAGAAGTTGCACGAAGACATCCATCCCGTTTCCCCCTGTTCTTCGCGTGGAGAGCTGCCTTTTCAGCAACTTTTCGTGTAATTGATCCATCCTTAGCGCCTATGTTCAAGGTTGGGCCTCATCAAGTGGTAATCATAGCCCGGTTCTACTATGCGGCGTTCACAACGTCGTCAACAGAAGGTGGCGCTGGTACGGCAAGGTGGACCAAGTCGAAGGGTCCAGTAGATTGTGACCTTACTGCTGTTCTGCTAACGAAACAAAGGAAGAAGAAGAAGGCTGGGATTGACAAGAACCTGCCATGGCGAAGCAGGCCGGTCTCGCAGAGCTGCTGCAGACGATTCTCGCGCAACAGAACGCTGCAATTCAAACCCAGTTCGACAACCTAAATCAACAATTGGCTGAACTAAGAACGACGGTGAATGTATAAATACCCCCCCTCCTCATTTTTTCACACCACAACCCATTCTTCACCCTCTCTCTAAAATTATCTCTTTATCCCCTCCCCTCCCAAAAGCCTAGGAAATATTGGTCTGTTGGTTGCGGCAAAGTCCGATCTGCCATAAGAAAACATTTCTTTGATTTTTCGTTCAAAACCCGCCGAATCTCTTTCCGACTTTCGCGAAAAAATGGACGAGTGGTTCCAAGGAGAGGGAGTTTATAATGATGAATTTCAAGCGGTACGTACTCATTATTCTGGTCAATTTTTGTTGGTGTTATAAGCTTTTTAATTAATCTATGTACTAACCTTGTTGTTATTCTCTCGTAGGTTGGGGACGACATGGATATATACAACCAACGGTATTATTTAGATCAAGGACCTATTGATCCAACTGACTTGTACGACCAACCCAATCATCGTTCAAGGGATGTTTGGAACGATCACGAAGTACATACAATTCTTCGTCATTTGTCTTTCTTTTATTTTGCTAATGTACTTAGTGGAATATAAAATAAATTTGATCATTTGTAATCATATTTGTTGTTTTCAATAATTTAATCGAAAACATAGCGCCACTTACTTTGACTCTTTATAAAGAGATGCACGTGTAAGGAAATTGGATTTTAAGCGATTATCATGATCCTCCCATTCCCTGGGAAAATTGGGTATTAAGAGACCCTCGGATCCCCCCTTTTCTGTTAAAAAGGCTGCATTTCTAAGAAGATGTATACCTCTTCTAAGAGTCTAAAGAGTGTTGCATTGTATTCAATTAAATTATTTAAAACACCCAATACGATTAAATTATTTACCAAACAACCAATACGATTTATGTTTATGTGTACAAAATGAATTTTATTAATTTCAAATGTTTGAATATGTATGTATCTCTTTAAATTATTATTCAATTAGAATGTTATTTATGTTAATTAATTGAGTATGTTTGTTTTATGATAATATGTATATATCTTGGAAAAAACCATCAATTATTTAAATTTGATTGTTAATAATATAATTATAATAAAATTCTGGTCAAAGTTAAATCATTTATTTTAATTAATTTAGTTATAAGAAAAAACTGTTACTAATATATCATAAATAACGTGGAAATTTTCGCTAGAAAGCACAACAAATACTCCGCTACAGGGGCACGACCAATGTGCTCCCATGGAACCCAGTTATCTTGCCATTTCTTAAAAGGGCACGTTTGGAGTCGATTACGCATTTTGTAGCCATAAAATTCGATCGTCAACTCATCACCGCATTGGTGGAGAGATGGAGAAAGGAGACACATTGTTTCAACTTTGGCGAAGGAGAGTGAACCATCACGCTAAAGGACGTCGCCATCCTAACCCATCTGCCCATCGACAACAAAGCGGTGTGTGTGATTGATCATCCCCCGAGGATCGTGACGGTATGACCGGTTGGCAGCATTTCATCCACAGTGTTTTGGGGGTGAAAGTACAAATCAAAGGGAGCGTTGATGTGACGGATGTTTGACCGTCTCCAGAATGACCTCCAACGCCTACGACCGCCTCGGTGTAAACGAACATCTCGGCTTTGGAAAGATTGTTCCACCGTCTCCAGAATGACTGTCTCCAGCATTTCATCCACCATGAATACCAGATGTTTGACAGTCTCCAGAATGACCTCCAACGCCTACGACCGCCTCGGTGTAAACGAACATCTCGGTTTTGGAAAGATTGTTGGAACTCAAGAATTCGAGCATGGAATCTACTTCATCCTGAGTGGTTATGAGATATTCCTCGCGCCACAACGACCCGCCTTCTCTATTTGGATATCGGTACACCATACGATCAACTCTTCTCGTGCCATCCATGCAAGTAACATTAGTACACATTTGATAGAGGTCTTCAAGCATCAGTCTGGTAGCGACCTTTATTTTCTGAAAATTGCCACCGACGTAGGTGACCCCCTTTCCGGTCTCTTCCGTGAACCATTCCACCGTAACTCAAGCGTGAACTTTTGGAATGGCATCTACAAAAAAACTGTAGTTCAGTTAATATCATAAAAATCACAAATCACAATAAAAAATAATACAAAATAAACTTACGAGTTAACGTTAACCGCAAAAACACTAAAGAAGTAGGGAGCTACAAAAGAAAATTGAAAAGGGAGAAGGAGAGGTGTGAAGAGAAGAGGTTCCTCGGGGCTGTCTTTTATAGGCAAAATCATCAATGAAAACCACATGGGGAGGGTGCCATTTTCATCTGCCATGCAGCCCCACGTCTGTCAACCTGCATGGCAACATGTTTGATGTCGGAAAAATGGGGACGACACACAAACCGCATGGGGGTGGGGGTTGAGGTTTGTGTGGGCAAAACCGCATGTTGAGGGTGCAGTTTGTTTTGGAGAAACAAAACCGCATCCCCAACGTGCGATTTTGCTAGGTCTGAGCAAGAACCGTACATGGGCCATGCGGTTCTGTAAGGTCAGACACGAAACCGCATGGCCAAGATGCGGTTTTGGCCCAGAACCTTAAACCGCACCTTGGGCGTGCGGTTCATATTCAAACCGCACCTTGGAGGTGCGGTTTAAAAAGAAGGGTTCTATTTTTGTAATTTCTATGGGCTGGGTGCTATTTTTGTAATTTTTTTTAAAAAAGTGCTATTTATGGAAAAAACCCTAACTTGAACAATATAGGTATTTTCTTATCTAAGAATTATTTCATTATTTAATTTTTTTTTATTTTTATTTTACTTTATTTTTTTAAGAGGACACCTCTATGTAAAATTTTTGGGTCCGCCATTGATTATACTCCCTTTATTTGTGCACAGAATCGAGTTTGAGATCCCAACTCTGATTCCTGGTGAAATCCCTAAAAAAAATGCCAAATTGAGTTAGGGATCCCAACTCTTCCTCCCGGAGAAATCCCTTGAAGCAGCTCAGCACTCAAGAACCGGATGAATTCTCGACGAAAGCTTCAACGGAAGCATCCTTTGTCATTAATTGCGGTATGGCGTTGAATTGAAAAGATTCTATAATTTGACTATGCTTCTGATGGCATTTGCGAATCCAATGATTTTGACCTATGATGCAACCTCCTCCTCCATCGAACGAATGCCTATTTAAACCTCAGTATCAATAGTTTTAGAATCAAACTTTGAATTCGAATTTCCTGCAAGTGACTCGGTATCCAAACTTGGTTGAGCAATTGACCACTAGGACAATGCTTGTTCTCCTCAGCCAGAAACCAATATCCTCTCCTCCAGATTGAATTGAATAACGCCAAGACTTGATTTGTTGCAGTGGGAAACAAGCAAATATGTTGTCTTATTGGGTGGAGGTGAGGCTGTTATCGAAGGGTTGAAAGATCGTTAGAGGATTCCTGGCCGAAAGGACCCTGTGCTGTCAATAAGGTTCTCACCTACCCAAATTTTCTCTTATTAAGTCACTCATTGGTCAACTAGATATTGTCTTACTTATGCAGGTTGCTGACTGGGGAAATGGTCAAGGATTCGAACAATAGAATTCACATGTTTCAATTTGATTTCAAGTTGGAGAAAATTACATATGCAGGCTGCTAACTGTTGAACTGTTATTTGAAGCAATCAACTTGATCAAGTTAGTCCAAGTTGTATTATGCTTTCTTACATTGTCTTTCAAACTCTGCTTATCGGCTTATTGTGGTGCTTTATTTGGTAGGTCGCTCGGTCATTTGCCTGAATTTATTTGGATTTGAGAGCTGTGACTCATATATAGTTGGAGGAAAAAGTTTCCAATGAATTCGATATGGAAATCTGATGACAGACTCCCTCAGAAAATCATTATAATAAACTGGTCTTTTTTATAATGCTTATAACCAACTTCAGTAGTGTTTTGTGTCTCCAAATCCATACACGGATTGATCTAATGTTTGCCTTGAGTAAGCTCACCATTTATGGTGGATTATGTCATTCACAATTAGTTCTTACTGACTTGCTTTTTTTTCTTTCTAGAAGGGGAATACAAAAACAAACAGCCTATACTACAAGTAGGAAGAGGGAAAACCATTCCCTGGAGCACTGCTATGCATATGCAAGATCATTACAAATTATATGAAAAGAAGAATTGGAACCAGGAGCAAGGATCATAGATAGACAGACTAAGGATGAACTGCACAAGGAAAACTACAGCATCCCAAACCACAAGCACATGTTCGGACCATTCTTATGTATGTTGACTGAACTCTCTTCCTGTTACTTTTGCTTTTACTGCCTTGATGTTCATCAATAAGCATTTTCACTAACTTCTCATGGCACCTTTTATAGCCTTCTCCCATCAATAAGCATTCCCACTAAGTTCCCATGAATTATGAACTACCTCTGCGTGTTGCTAAATCCACCGATTCCACATCGAGTCGAGAAAAGCATAAATCAGTTTATTGACACATGCCTTTAATTTTACCCCAATTCTCCTCCTGCTGGATGAAAGTATAGTATTGATGCTTTCTTCCCCTTTGTTCTATATATTGTTCTTCTACTGTTGTGAGCTTAGTATTCACATATTGTCTCTTTCATTGCTAAATAATGAAAGGATAACATCATATTGTTTAAGGTATATCTTATATACATATTACAAGTTGATTATGTACGTTGTTGCTAGAGTTTTTAAAAGGACAGAATATAGGGCTAGGTAAAGAATAGTTGGTGGATTGATCAGAAGGCAATCTAATATTGTTATCTTCCTATCAATCATAAAATGCTTTGTTATTGGTTTCCTCCTAAGTTTGTTAATTAATGTTCATATATAACAAATTTCTTAAAATTCGCAATTGCAGGTCTTCTTTTAGTTGTGTTGCAGGGAGTTCCCTTTGCCAAGAGTTGTCCCGCAACAAATCGTTATTTTATTTTAGAAGTCAGAGTGTTAACATCTCAGTCAAATGTTGCTTCGTTAGAACTTCGGTACTGTAGACATATATATAGGGTCACGGATCTTTTCTTGCTGTAAGTTTGAAGTTCAGCGGTAATGGTATCTTGGGAAGCTTTGTTTTGATGATGCATTATTCTTGAATTCTCATCTCCTGTCCAACCATTGGTTTAGTAATTATGACTAACTTGTTCCTCAATCAAGCCACAACCAATGACAGACAAATTTCTGGGATCATTGATTTTACTTGCTGTAAGTTTGAAGTTCAGTGGAGATGGTTTCATGGGAAGCTTTGTTTTGATAGTGCATTGCTCTTGATTCTTGGTAATTACGACTAACTTCTTCCTCAATCAAGCCACAACTAATGACATAGAAGATGTGATGCATTTGTATGTTACAAAATTAAGGATTTTGTTGTCTGGGAAGCGAAATATATATTTGTTGGGACGCTCGAATGATGGATGATAAAAAGCCGTTCGCGCGGATGCTTCCCCCTAAGGCGGAACTCTCAAACAACAAAATATACATGAGTTACAAAAGAAGGATACAATTCATACCAAAATGTAAAATATATGTTGGACAATTCAGTTATCCCGCGACTGAGTGCGAGCCATAAAACTAGTTTAGTTAAATAATAAATCTCATTTTACAATGGATTTTGACTTATTGATGATGTCGATAGTTCAATATTTCCTTTTAAAGAAAAGGTAAATATTTTCTATTGAAGTTCAGTCGAAAATAATGCTCATCAAAATCATGGTTGTCAAAGATATGATATATCGTCCATCACAACTGGATTCAACCGGTATTAGACACAATCAGCAAGAAGACAACCGATATGAAGAGGTAGTCAAAACCAGTAAATAGACCGTCAAAGTCGATAAAAATATTAAAAAACTAGTGGTATGGTTGGAATGATCAAATTTCGGCCCCTACACAAAATGATGTTTTTATGGACTTTAATAACCAAAAAAAGGAATTAGTTGGATTTAAATATGAACATTTAGATAATATTTTCCGGATTCAATTATAAACTCCTGGATGATTATGTTAACTGTTGCATTTACACATGATGATTTATCATTTTGTTTGGACAGAGATTATAGAGTGATTGTTTTAAGTCGGTATAAACTAACATATAAACAGGTTGTGTCACGATCTAACCATACCACTTTCAAAACCGACTTAATAGTTTAAACCCGTTTGATAATATCTAAACCCATTACCTCGTTGGGCAATAGAAAAATGAATTCATAGTTTCGTACTAAAGCCACTAGTTTAGGAAACCCGTAGTTAAGTTGCCATTTTGGATATACTTCTGAGTTCTGATGCCTATTACTCACGCCTGATTCTCAGTAAAATATCTCTTTGATAGGGAGATGGCACAAGATGGGTGCATAACCAAGATTTATGTACTGCTGCATAATTAAATCTTGATTGTTAGTTTGAGTGGGGTTAGATGGGTCCTGATCTAAGGGAATGAGAATTAATAACTTTTTATTTTCTTTAAATTTCTTAATTGACTCTTATTCTCATCGTTCTAATTTGAATTTTGAAACTTTTCTGCGCAGATGGAACGAGTTCTTTGTGATCTACAAAATGAAATCACTTTGGTTGTTTTAGATGAATATATCATTTTAATGTGTAGTCGAGAAAACGAAAATGAAATTTCTATTTTTGAGTTAATGGCACACCTACGAGCAATTTTCAATATATTTCGAGAAACAAAACTTCATACGACTTCTTACCACCTTGGTTCCATCTTTGTTTTTTTTTATGGATGTGAGATTAAATTAAGGATAAAGAAACCAGGAACAAGTACAAACTAAAAACTACAAAGCCAAGGGAGTCACAAGACGTGACCTCCCAAGGCTCAAACGTACAAAACAAAAACAAAAAGAAGAAGAAGAGTAGAAAGGCGAAGACCAGAGGAATTTTTCCAATAATAGCACCTATTAAAAAAAATTATAAAAATAGCTTCCAGCCCACAAAATTTACAAAAATAGCACCATTTTTATCAATCCGCACCTCCAAAGTGCGTTTTATAGTTAAACCGCACCCTCCAGTGCGTTTTATGTATAAACCGCACCTTGGAGGTGCGTTTTGCGCCACGCCAGACTGAAAACCGCACCAGAAAGGTGCGGTCTGTGTTTCCTCGGGAGCGGGCTTGGAGACCGCTGGATAAGGCGGCGATCCAGCGGCGGACCGCTTGCCACGGATCGAAGACCGTCGCTGGCAGGTGCGGTCAGCACCTCGATCAATGTAGACCGCATCGGGAGGGCGCGGTTTCTGACTGGCCTAAATTACCAGACCGCCCTTCGAGGGTGCGGTCTGAAGGGTATAAATACCCCCACCCCCTCCCCCCTCTCATTTCTTCACACCACAACCATTCTTCACTCTCTCTCTCTCTCTAGAATTATCTCTCTAACCCCTCCCCTCCCAAAAGCCTAGGAAATAGTGGTATGTTGGTTGCGGCTAAGTCCGATCTGCCATCAGAAAACATTTCTTTGGTTTTTCCCTCAAAACCCGCCGAATTTCTGTCCGACTTTCGCGAAAAAACAATCGAGTGGTTCCAAGGAGAGGGAGTTTATTATGATGAATTTCAAGCGGTACGTACTCATTATTTTGGTCAATTTTTGTTTTTTTATAAGCTTTTTAATTAATCTATGTACTAACCTTGTTGTTATTCTCTCGTAGGTTGGGGACGACGTGAATATATACAACCAACGGTACTATTTGGATCAAGGGCCTACTGATCCAACCGACTTGTACGACCAACCCAACCATCGTTCAAGGGATGTTTGGAACGATCACCCGGTACATACAATTCTTCATCATTTATCTTTCTTTTATTTTGCTAATGTACTTAATGGAATATAAAATAAATTTGAAATAATTTAATCGTATTGGTTGTTTTCAATAATTTAATAGAATACATAGCGCCACTTACTTCGACTCTTTATAAAGAGATGCACGTCTAAGGAAATGGGGTTTTAAGAGATTATAATGATCCTCCCATTTCCTGGAAAAATCGGGTATTAAGAGATCCTCGGATCCCCCCTTTTTCTGTCAAAAAGGCTGCGTTTCTCAGAAGGTGTATACCTCTTCTAAGAGTCTAACGAGTGTTGCATTGTATTCAATTAAATTATTTAAAACAACCAGTACGGTTAAATTACTTACCAAACAACCAATACGCTTTGTGTTTATGTGTACTTAAATGAATTTCATTAATTTCAAATGTTTGAATATGTATGTATCTCTTTAAATTATTATTCATTTAGAATGTTATTTATGTCAATTAATTTAGTATGTTTGTTTTATGATAATATGTATATATCTTGGAAAAAACTGCAAATTACTTAAATTTGATTGTTAATAATATAATTATAGTAGAATTATGGTCGAAATTACATCATTAATTTTAATTAATTTAGTTATAAGACTAAATTGTTACTAATATATCATAAAAATTTTAATAATGGTCAAAATTAAATCATAAATTTTAATTAATTTAGTTATAAGACTAAAATGTTACTAATATATCATAAATAACGTTGAAATTTTTGCTAGGAGGCACAACAAATACTTCGCTACAGAGGTACGACCAATGTTCTCTCATGGAACCCAGTTATCTTGCCATTTCTCAAAAGGGCACGGTTGGAGTCGATTAGGCATTTTGTAGGCATAAAAGTCGATCGCCAACTCATCACCGCATTGGTGGAGAGATGGAGAAAGGAGACCCATTGTTTCAACTTTCGCGAAGGAGAGTGCACCATCACACTCAAGGACGTCGCCATCCTTACTCATCTGCCATGCAACCCCACGTCTGTCAATCTGCATGGCTGCATGTCTGGTGTCGAAAAATAATTGACACACAAACCGCATGAGGGGGGTGCGGTTTGTTTTGCCAAAACCGCACTTTGAGGGTGCGTTTTATTTTGGAGAAGCAAATGGTTTTGCTAGGTCAGGACTAGACCGCATCTGGGCCATGCGGTTTGGTTAGGTCAGACTGCAAACCGCATGGCCAAGATGCGGTTTTGGCCCACAAATCTAAACCGCACCTTGGGGTGCGGTTTACATGCAAAACGCACCAGGGGGTGCGGCTTTTAAAAAGGGTGCTATTTTTGTAATTTCTACGGAATTGGTGCTATTTTTGTAATATTTTTTTAAAGGTGCTATTTCTGGAAAAATCCCAAGACCAGAGAAGCAGAATCCAAAAACAATATCCAAGCTAGCAAGAAGAAAACCCAACGCCAAAGGCGGAAAGCGCCAAAACCAAACACTCCCACCAAAACATGAACCAAGCAAGCTGCTCCACACCAAAACTCAGCAATCAACCTCTGACTCGACGCAAACACACAGCACGCCAGACATCCACAGTACTCTTACATACTTTCCCATGTGCCACAATCCAATCCAGAGCATTCCTAACAATCGAGCAGGCCACCTCCATGGCAGGACGGTACTCTTGCCGGAATAATCGGTGGTTGCGTTCCTTTCATACAGCCCATCCAACAGCATGAAGAAGACAAGAACTGAGCCATTCACCAATGTTCACCGGTTGCGAGGACGTTTGGTGCTTGAAGATATTTACAACATCATCAGAGGGAACGCTGACATTTCTGCAAGTTGCACTAATTCTACTCCAAATCTCCCTTGCAAAATTGCACTCAATCAAGAGATGTCCAATGGATTCCTCTCTACACCAACACAGTTCGCACCTGTTCGCCAAGCTCCAGCCATGCTTTTTGATGTTGTCTAGGGTGAGCACACTATTATGATAGGCAAGCCATAAGAACCCGCAGATCTTGGTAGGTACTACTTCTCTCCAAACCGAAGCTGCTGGAAAATCTCTATCACCCTGAAACCTCTTTTCCATCAAGCACCTATACATAGATCTCACAGAAAACGGGTGATCTGGATTCAGAGACCAAATAACCCTACTTGGACCAAGGCTAAGTAATCTAGTATCAAAAGAATTAAGAACACCAAATAAACCAAGCCTCTCCCTCCAAGCCCCACCCCTAACCTCCCAACGAAACTGTATATTCAAAGAAACACACTCACCTGAAAAAACAGCAATGTCGGAAAGTCGGGCTTTAGGATTAGTGGCGACGACAGCGGTACGAGGAAAGGAATCAGCCAGCATGATCCTAGGAATCCAACTGTCATACCAAAAAGAAGTTCAGGCTCCGCAACCCGGTTCCACATAAGCCAGCTTCCAAAAGTCACCATGAACTTTAGCAATATTTTCCCATACCGAGCTCGAACACCCACCTATTCTCCGAGAGCAATGCCACTTCGAAGTACTAGTCCCATACTTCACCTCAATAAGCTTCCTCCACCAACTCTCCCTTTCCACCGCATACTTCCATAACCATTTGCTAAGCATAACTCTATTGAAACAATCGAACTCCACAATGCCCAACCCACCCTCGCTCCTAGGAATTTTACATATCTCCCACTTCACAAGTTGCAGCTTCCGAGTGTCTGCAGCTTCATTCCACAAAAAATTCCTCTGCAACTTCTCAATTCTGTTTATTACTGTCTTCGGCACCCTAAAGAGCGAGCTATAGTACACTGGTTGGCTGCTGAGACAAGATTTGATCAAAGTAATCCTAGCTCCCAGCGACAAGTACCTACTCCTCCACCCTGTCAAGCGCTGCTCACACTTTTGAATACTGGATCCCAAATAGCGACCGCATTAGGCTTGGCGCCCAAGGGAAAACCTAGGTACTTACTTGGATATTTACTCCAACTGCATCCAAATAAATCCGCGAAATACAGAGGTTCTGAAACATAGCCAATAGTAAACATCACCGACTTGTCCAAATTAATACTAAGACCAGTCATCGCTTGAAAACAAACAAGACCTGCCAGCAAATTGAGAACTTGATCACGGACAGCATCGTTAAACACTAAAGTGTCATTCACAAACAGCAGGCGAGAGACCTGCCCTCTCGAGCCCTTTTCATCCATACAAAAACCAGCTATTTTACCATTCTGAGAGAGGCTGTCATGAACAAAAGAAAGAATATCCATTACCAAAACGAACAGAGCTGGAGAAAGCGAATCCCCTTGCCTCAAACCTTTATTGGTAGAGAAGAAACCTCGCGACTCCCCATTCACAAGGATGGATATCACCGGAGAGCACATAACACCGCGTATCCATTGTACCCATTTAGACGGAAAACCAAGCGAAACAAGAATATTAAAAAGGCACCCCCAGTTAACCTTATCAAAAGCCTTTTCCACGTCCAGTTTGAACATCAGCCCGGGGTTTTTAGTTTTTCGCCTACTGTCTATTAACTCATTTGCAATCAGTTCAGCCTCACTTATTTGGCGCCCTTTAACAGCAACGTGCTGATATTTAGGTACCAGTTTCGGTAGCACAGAACACACTCTCCCCATCAACAGCTTTCTCAAGATTTTGTTAAGCTCCCCAACAGACTTATGGGTCGGAGATCACGAACATCCTCAACGACATCCCTCTTTGGAGCAAGACATATGAACGAATGAGAAGCACTCTTAGGAAGGATGTCATAGATATGAAGTTCATTGATGGCCGCCATAAGTTCCCCTTTCATCCTGTCCCACCTCTTCTTGTAGAATTCAATGGAGAAACCATCCGGACCAGGAGCCTTCCAACCATTACATCTCTTAATCGCTGCCAACACTTCGACTTCAGAAAACGGCCTGGTCAAAACATCTGCCACCCCTGCATCAAGTTTTCTCTTCGAGTAACTAGCTGGAAAGCGCCGAATAACAATAGTTTCAGTAAGCAGATGACGATAGTAATCCACAATACCCTCAGCCATAATATCATAATCCTCAAGAAGAGTCCCATTGACTTTGATAAAATCAAAATAATTGACCTTCCGCCTATAGTTCACTGCCCTATGAAAGTAGTCGGTATTCCTGTCTCCCTTACAAAGCTAGAGCTCACGGGAATTCTGCCTCCAAGAAACTTCCAGGAGCTCTAGAGCAATACTGAGTTCAGCTTTGTGGTCATCTCTAATAGAACCCTGTGATTAGGGTTCTATCGAGAATTGGAGATTTAGGGATTAAGAACAGAATTAGGAATTTGAGAAAAGAAAGATAGAATCGGCCGAAGCCTTAGAGGACTAGAGAACGAGAAATTAGGAGATAGAGGATTAGGGTTTTGGAAGAGATACTTTCTGAATAATTGTTCTTGCTTGATTGATAATGAAACCCAGATTACATATTTATAGTGAAAGACTAGAAAAACCTAAAAGACTATCCTAATATGGCTCAAAGACTAATAACCATATCTAGATAAATCCTAATAATATTAATATTGATAATTATGGTCAAACCTAAAAGTAGGTTTCCATCATCCCCTTCCCCTTGAAAACCAACCTTGTCCTCAAGGTTGATCGACTCGACCCACTTCATCACGTCGTTCGTGCGAACCAAGTCTTCGTTCCTCCATCTATGACGCTTTCTTTTTTTCCAATCTTGCTCTACTACTCGACTCGTACCTCTTGCGTTGACCTTCTTGTGCTTATCCAACTCTTTAAATTCAACTTCCATGGGCCCACCATTTTCCTTCACAGACTCAAATTCACAATATAAAAATTAGAGAGTTCTTCCTCTATGAACCCATTAGTTCTTTGAAGCTTGCTTCCCTTTTTTCTGCGCAGCTCGTGCCCCAGGAATTGCTCGGCCCAACTGATCTCAACCCTGGACTTGCTCTCCTGATTATTATAGCCCAAGAAGAGCCCACTTTTGTGGCCAATCTTCAGCCCAATACCTGACCCACGTGAAACCCCATCCTGCAGTTTTTCAAGGCCCACTCTCACTCGGTCCCTAGGTTTGGGGATGAAGAAGTGGCCGCTCCCATCGCCGTCACCAACTAGCGGCTCCCTCCTCTCCTCCATAGTCGATGCTACCTTCGCCGCCACTCCATCCAGCCACGCCTCCGAACAAAAAGCTCAAGGAGGAGTGGCGGCCGAAGCAGCAGGTTGCTAAGCCTGCACGGAAGAAGAGTGGAGACCACTATGAGCTGGTCCCACCTCCTGCACCACGACCACCTTGGCCGTCCGGGTACTCACTTGCCTGCATCTTGCCAGATGGCCAGGTCGAGCTGACCGATGATGGTGGTCGCGTCCGTCGGGTGCATGGCCACAACCTCAAGCTGTACCTCAAGAGCGACGTGGATCCGCTCTTGGAGGCACCTGTTCCTGTACCGCCCTGAGTATCCACCATGGGCGTCCAGCTAAAAGACGGTAAAGAAGCGCTTGTGGGGAGGCAACCCCACCACGGTTTGATTTTCTTTCTTGTGTTTTGAGTCGGATTGTAACCCGGTTTGGGTTTGGTTTGTTTTTCTTTTGGTTTGGATGATGTTTTATTGGGCTGACCATTGGACCTAACATATTGTGTTGAGCTCTTTGGTTTCCTCTCGCTGTGCGTGTCTTGACTGGTCCCCTCTCCAGTCCGCTTCACTCAACTGGCCCGCTTCCAGTCTCCTGCAGTCCATGCATACCGGTAACATCGTTCCCCTTATCCTTCACTCTTCTCCATTGAGGGCAATGTCGATCTTAAGTGTGGGGGGATGTTTATCTTGTGACTGCATTAGATCTGTTTGTGTGCTTGGAGCCTAGTCCACTGTCCAAATTTTTAAATTTGAGGGCTCCAAGTACGTGTTTCCTTGCAATTGCCTGCTCAGTATGCTTTGAATTGACAGTCTTTATAGTAATATGCAACCTAGGGAGGTGGTGTAGCACTATGGAGGACGTTGATGCATTTAAGAAGTCTCATTTCTTCTTCATATTGTGTTGGTTGATTGAGTGAATTAGTGATCTTAGGACCCTTGAATTGTGTGGTGTTGTGGATTCTCTGCCTGTCATGGACTCTTGTATCATGTTTTAAGTTTAACAGGTGCTCGAAAATGTGCTTCAAGCCCCCTTGCATGGCTTTACCCCGCACGAGGCTCGAGACGGGAATCCGTTTCCAATTTCCACCTACTACCTCCAGCCCCCTTGCATGGCTTTACCCCGCACGAGGCTCGAGACATCCGCTCCTGGCATGGCCGGTAAGAGCAGGTTGGGACCCTTGAAAAGAAAAGAAAAGAAAAATAACAGAAAACAAGCAAAACAGAAAAAAGGGGTTCCAACCATCTTCAAAGAAAATAGAGCACCTTGAAAAAGGTGAGTCCATGATCCTTTGTTTTTGAGAATCTCTCCATCCACGATTCATTTGTCCTCAGTTCACTGTTTGCCATGATGCTGACTCGCCGAAGAAGCTATGAGATGACTTGTGCGTCGGCTGACCTCGTAAGTTGCTAAATGACCTAGGAAGTCCTCTACCTACGATCTGGGTTGTTTGTTGCTATAGAGGTCTGGAGAGTTGCATTGGTTTGAGTTCGGTTTGCTTGGGGACAAGCAAACGGTTAAGTGTGGGGGAGTTTGATAACGATGTAATTGCACATGTTTGCGCCCCTAGTTCTTATCCGTTTGAGGGGCATAGTCGTGTGTTTTGGCCTATTTTACGCCGGGTTGTGCTATTTTGTCATGTTTCAGGTCCCAGGTGTCAAAGGGAAGGCTAAGCGCGAGTTTCGGGGCATTCGGAAGTCATTTCGGTGAGCTGGAGCCAAAACACGGGCAGCCTAAGGCATTACACGGCCGTGTTCCTGTGGCCGTGCTTTTTATGCCGAGAGCAAATTCGGTTTGGCAATTTCAGTTGCAAACACGGGCACCAAAGCACGGCCGTGTTCCACCAAAGCACGGCCGTGTCCACCGCGAAGCACGGCCGTGTTTCCCCCCAACTGCTGGCCGTGTAATTAACCTTGGCCGAGACACGGGCGGACTCAGGCAAAGCACGGCCGTGTCCTCGACCGTGCTTTGGCCACTGATGCTTTTAAGCAGATTTTCAGCCACAAGTCAAGGGGATTCGAGTTTTAGAGAGAGAGATCAGTTCCTAGAGAGAGAAAGCGACGAACAAGAGTCTCCAAGTGCCCTAGATTGATCTTCAACACCATTGGAGGCCAGTTTGAGCTTGGAGAAGTGCCGATCAACGTCCAGGAGCAGGAATCCATCCTTCGCAGTATGAATTCCGCGTCTGATTCTGCTTTTGCTTCTTTCTCCATGGAGTAGTTCTCCCATTCATCTGGGTATGGAGAACCCTAGATTTGTATGTTAGGCTTTGATTGTATGAACCCAAGTACTGATTCTATGATTTGATTATATTCGATTGAGGTTTGAATGATTGAATGACTTGAATCCTGATCAAATTCCTGTTGTTTCTGCTTTAACCTAGAATGAGAATATCTGCCTAGGTTGACAGAGCATCCTTGATTGAAGGTAGGGAGTTGGTGACTTTAGTCGAGGAGCCAACTCACTATTCTGTACCGGATTTACTCCGGTAGTGGAGGTTTTGTTTGTTAGGGCCTCAATCTGTTTACTCCGGTGGAGGTTAGTCGCCCGCTAGAGATTCAGATTGAGAGGGTCTGAAGACCTTTAGTCGAGACTTCAGGCTGTTTGAGAACCTTCCGCAGTATAACTATCATAGAAATTGAACTTGGTAATTACAATCCGGCTTAACTGCAGTCTAGGGGGAACCATATCCGGGTGACCTCTCTTAACCTGAATACAACCGTTTACTTGCTTTGTTAGTTTGTTAGTTTAGACTTGCATTAAAGTTTCATTGCTAGATAACAAGAATTCACTGAGTAGTCATCAAATCTAGGACCCGAGTTGATAATTAAACCCAAACCCGCTATACTACGCTTTAGGAAGTGGTTTCACTTGGCCAATTCCTGGAGTGACAGTAGAAGTGAGTCACTATTCCAAGTTTTAATCAAACCCTTCAGTTTTTTGAGTCTTCTGGTCCATTGGAAAACCTTAACCACACCATCAATCGGCTGTTACATCCACTCATCAAGGCTGCTGAAGAAACGATCATCGTTTAGCCACATATTTTCAAACTTCCAGGGACGTCTCAACCTTCTCGCTTCACCCCACAAAACCAGCAAAGGATTATTATTAGATTCTACTCTCTCCAAAGCCATAAGAGAACACCTGGGAAATAAAGCATCAAAATCAGGGGAGATGAGTACACGATCAATGCGAGAGAAAGATGCGTAGCCCAACCATTGCTCCAAATGTAGGTGCTACCGCTCATCGGTAAATCCAACAAAGCATAATTGTTAATGACATCATTGAACTCATCCATAGTTACCGAATTCCTCCTAACCCCGATATACTCCTCATGACACCTCACCAAGTTAAAGTCCCCCCGAGCTATGCACAACGGTTTACCTGCAGAGTTGCATAATACATCCAAGCTAGCAATGAAATCCAACTTGTCATTCCGTTCTTGTGGACCATACACTACACACAATTTCCACTGTTTCTGCGAAATCACCTCAAGGAGATCAACAACAATGAAAAAGGATCCAAAGAAGACTCCTCCTTCCTCAAAAACAAGCTTGTCCCAATAAATCAAAATGCCTCCAGAACTGTTAGTCGCATCCTTAGCAACCCAACCAACATCGTTAAAGCTGCTAATACTAGTAACAATATCTTTTTGATGAATGGTGGGCTTTATTCATCATACAATAAAAAATACACAGTTTCGCACCAGCAATTACAACCCCACTACAGCACTACTATAGGCCTAACTAGAACAACCAGCCATCAAAAAACAAAAATCAGAGTCAAAGACATCCACTACATCAAAACAATGTAAACCTGTCTGCATCTAGCTAGGATCTGCAAATAGATTAAGACATTTTGAACCAAAGTGGTTTACCCTCAGCTGCTACTGCAAATACAACATCTCCTGCTAGCTTGTACTCCACCTCCTGGGCCATCTTCTGAGTCAGTGCTGCTGGAGACATGGACTTGTTGCCATATAATCTTCTACAGCGCTCACGCCATACTTCACTAACCAGCAAACACCAAATGTGACACCCTGTCGAGCATCCTCCCACCCTGCAAACTGCAGCTAAAACTGCACTATGAAACGACCATACAAGAGGAAACTGCCATGGGCCAAAAACTAACCTCCAAACCTCCCTGACATAAGAACAAGAGAAGAAAAGGTGCTCTCGAGACTCTGCCTCAGAAAGACAGAGAGGGCAGCTGTCAATGACATCTGGATTCCATCTCTTGATCTTGTCCAGAGTAGTGATTCTGTTCTGCAGAACGAGCCAAGCTAATAAGGAATTTTTAGGAACCAGGGCCCCTTCCATACCAGTTTGACCCAAGAGATAGTGGCCTGCCTTGGTCTAAAAGTCTCCCAGACTGCTTTAATACTGAACATGTCCATGATAGAACCATCCCATTTTACACCATCATCAGTTCTGACCATATGTGGGCTAATAAGAGGTCTTATCTTCAGAATTTTGTTCTAGGACCAGGACCCTTTCGTCTGAGTTTCCCAGATGCTAAAATTTCATAGCATGTATTCCTTCAACCACGCTATCCACAGGGTCTCCTGATCTGCAAGAACAGCCCAAATATGCCTAGCTAAGCATGCTTGATTCCACGACCACAGGTCCCTAAACCCCAAGCCACCTTCTTCTTTAGGTAAAGCTACATGTTTCCAGGCCACTTTTGCCTTCTTCCTCTGCTCCAGATTGCCCCACAGGAACTTCGAACACAGGGATTCCACTTCACGTATGACTTTCTTGGGGAGCTGAATGATGTTCATCCAAAACTGAGTAATGTTGGCTAGAACAGCAACTATTAGTTGGAGTTTGTCTGCATATGTCAACAGCTTTGCTTGCCAACCTCTAGTACGACTAGTTATCCTCTCCACCAAAGCTCTACACTCTGCTGCTTTCAGTTTACCTGCAGTTAGAGGAATCCCCAGATACCTGACAGGCAGGGCTCCTTCCTTGAATCTAGAACAGCTAGCCAACAAACCCCTTTCCTCTTCAGTCACACCCGCACAGAAAAATTCGCTTTTGGAAGGATTGCATCTAAGTCCAGAAACTAGATAGAATTTTTCCAGGATAGTAGCAACAGTCCCAACTGCCTCCCCTGACCCTTTTGTGAAAATCAGCAGATCGTCCACAAAACAGAGGTGAGTTAGCCCTATTCTGAGGCACTGAGGTTGGTATGGCAACACATTCCTAGCTGTTGCTCTATTGAGCATGCAAGAGAGGACTTCCATGCTTATGGCAAACAAATAAGGTGATAAAGGGCAGCCTTGCCTAAGTCCTTTCTTGGCAGGAAAGTTTCCAGTCAGACCCCCATTGATACACACAGAGAAAGTAGTAGATTCAAGGCAACACTGAACCCATTTAATACCTTTCTCAGGTAGCCCCATTGCTAGCATGACAGTGACCAGAAAGCCCCAGTCCACATTATCAAATGTCTTCATGATATCAATTTTTAAGGCACAACGAGATGAGACATTCTTCCTTTTGTACCACTTGACCATTTCATGTGCAAGGATTATATTGTCTGTAATCAGCCTACCCTTTATAGATGCAGTCTGGTTTGAACTAATAAGTTGTGGCAACACTTCTTTCAATCGATTAACTAGGATTTTCGAGATGCATTTATAGATGAAGTTACAGCAGGAGATAGGTCTGAAATATTTGATAAAGCCGGCATTTGGAACTTTAGGGATTAAGGTGAGAATTGTGCAATTTACCTCTCTCCTGAGTGTTCCAGTGTCAAAGAACTCCATAATTGCCTTGATCGTCACTGGACCAACCAAACTCCAATTGTCTTGGAAAAATTCTGCGGGGAACCCATCAGGGCCAGGGGCTTTGCTCCGCTTCATCTTCTTAATCACTGAGGTGATTTTGCCAGCAAAAATGGCTTCACAAAGAGAGGACTCCTCAGGAAGATGGTGAAACAGCAGCTTCTGGAAAGTGCCCACTGTCACATGCTTGAGAGAGGAGTTAGCCATTCCAAGTAGATTCTTGTAGAAGTCCACTGCCTCCTTGCCTATTTCATCGATCCCTTCTAAAATTCTACCATCTTCAGCAACCTGACTGGTAATTGTACTTCTGGAATTCCTGGTTCTGACCATACCGTGGAAGTAATTGGTATTAAGATCTCCACTGTTGATCCGCATCATCCTTGATTTTTGTTTGAAAAACTCTTCTTCATCTTTTTTAAGCCCTAGAAGCTGGACCATACACCTCTACTCAGCTTGGAAAGCTGGGGAGGCAGGGCGCTCCATCACTTCTCTTTGAGCCAAAACTAGATTCCCTTGAGCTTCCTTTACCCTTTCATGTATTGTTGAATAGTGCTCCTTGTTCAATTTCCTGAGCCTCATCTTGACCTCTCTTAGTTTGTGATATAGTCGTTTCATTACTGTGCCCTTGATATGTCATGTCCACCCTTCTGCAACTAAAGCATAATAGGTGGGATGATTCTTCCAGAAATTGAAGTACTTGAAAGGCTTAGGCAAGGTTTTAATCCTAGTATTTGTACAAAGAAGAAGACCACAATGGTCAGAGTAACCAGGGGGAATTGACAATGCTGAGGAATGTGGGAAGTCTGCCAGCCAACCTTCTGTCACAAGGACTCTGTCCAACCTCTTAGCAATGGGGTTCCCCACTTGCTTATTAGTCCACGTGAACCAAGGGCCAACTACCTTGTGATCAACCAACTGCACTCTATCAATCCATTTCCCAAAGTTATTAGCACTCTCCCCTAGTGTAACCGGACTTGAGGATTCACTGTTGTTTAGGATAGCATTGAAATCACCCATTACTAGCCAAGGTTTTGATACATCCATCTTCCCCTGAAGCTCCTGATACATTCTACTTCTCTGGTTAGAGTCATTTGATGCATATATGAAAGCAACCTGTACTTGTGTCATCCCCATTATAATACCAGTCACATAGGACTCAGACCTGTCCTGAACAACAAAAGGACAACTGTCCCTCCACAGTACCCAGATGCGACCTACTCATGCTGATGAATATGTCTCCACATGTTTCCAAGTAGGAAAAGATTCCTCCAGAATTTTCTGAACCTTATCTGACTCAACTCTGGTTTCCAATATGGCTACTATATCTACCTTTTATGTCTACAAAGAACCTCTACTATACTGTCATGCTTCACAGGGCTATTAAAGCCCCTCATATTCCATGAAAGTATATGCTTTACTTACTCTTGGATTTGGCCTTAGCAGGCCTACCAGGTTTCTTACCTTTCTGTTGCCCCTCAACCGCTTTACTCAACTCAGGGAAATGAGCAGGATCTTTTAGAGGAGAGATGGCTAGGGAACCAACCTCAAATTTCTCCAGTGAGTCCAGGACTCCAAATGAGTTACTTACCATACTGGAGTGACTCTTGCTTCTCACTGCAACTTGAAATTCCGAATCTGAGGGTAATTTCTTTGCTTGCCATATTTCAACTGGACCCCCACCTACAAGAGAAGTAACGAGGTTATCTACAGCCTGTTGAAGGATTTCCTCCTCTATTCCAGCAGATGGCCTTGACTCGTCCTACAAGACAAGTTCCACTTGAGAATTCCCAACCACAGTAGTGGATTCAACAACTTCAGTCTGCAGTACCTCATCCGAGATTTCTTCAACCTGCCCTTCAGTTTGGGCTTCAACAACCAAGGGTTCAGAGATATGGGCCTCTGTTTCCTGACACTGATGCCCAAACCTGGAGCATTTCTTGCAAATCTCAAGCATATTACAATACTCGAGCTGAACAGAGTAGGGTGCCCTTCTGTCTGGGACTAATCTTAGAGACTCAGGAAAGGGGGAATCCACTCTGACCTCCACACACACCTTCGGATATCCCAATCTTCGTCCCAATCGGCTAGCCTTATCAAACCAGAGGGTTTTCCCCAACATACTTGCAAGACGAGTAAGAATACGCCCCGTTACATGCTCAAGGGGAAGATCCAGGAAGCGTACCCAAATTGGGATGGTTTGTTGTGGTTGCTCGGCTCGAATTCTTGGCTCCCATTTCCTCAGATAGCACATATCATTGTGAAGATGCCAAGGCCCACTCGTGAAAACTCAGTGAGCAGTCTCCTCCTTCGGAAACTGAAATAGTAACAGCGAGTCGCCCAAATGCGAAATACTAACCGAACCATGCTTTTCCCACAACCTGTTAGCCCATGCTTGGACCTGCCTGATATGAGGGGACGAAGCAAGAAATTGCCCTACCAGACAGTTCCTCCACCTCGCTATGCCCTCTTCCTCAAGTTCTGCAGGAATCCTCAACCCGCCGTCCACGATTTCAGGCTCAATGTAGACGAGGCGATTTTCCTCCGCAATGCCGAACAGATCCGCCCACGAACCATCACCAGCCATGGCGAGGAGAGTAGAGGAGAAGGAAACCACTAGAGAATCCAGGAGCTTCGGCGCGACGGCGATGGCGGCGCCGAACCGACGAACCAGAGGACTATCCCGCGGTTTCTCTCACTAGCTTTTCTGTTTTGGTAGCAATGGATTTCTCTTTTTTTTGTGAGTTACTAGTAACAATATCCCGATTGCAACTACTCAGTTTCGGCTCAACCAAACCCACTAACTTCGAACCCTTTCTTCTAATCAGATTTTTAACCCGACCTCTCTTCTCGATATCATTAAGCCCCCGCACATACCAAACTAAAAGAGAATTCAACATAATGACAAATGGGCGGAAGACTCACAAGCACCTCTCTTAACTTGAATTTTGAAAAATTTTACATAGAAGGAATGATTACTTCATTATCTATTGAATCTACAAATTTCTGGGGGGCGAAATGAAGGACCAAAATATACCAATTTCTGGGGGGAAATAAATGACCAAAATGTACCATCTCGTACCACTTTGGTATATGGGTGGTAACTGGTGGTAAATAATGATTCATATGATAAATGACAATTCGTATACTTGTATTATCATGGATTCAGCCATGCTACACTATGGTATGTTCATACCACTATGGTACACTCGCGTACCACATTCTATGATCGTATGTAATACCAAGCATTACCACCATAATGTAAATTGACTATAAGATTACTAACTCTCGAAATTTGATATTAATTCTTTTCAAGTGGAGGTTTAATGAGAATCGTTGAAATGTTTGTTCAACAATTATTCATGAATGGGAATGGAATCGTATCCTGCGATGCGACTAGCCAACTGGATGAAAAGGAAAATCGACGACACAGAAGGGTGGAAGAGGGAAAGCAATGCCAAAAGGATGTCTGTCTGTCTTGTCTCAGTCGAGAGGATAAGAATTAAGATGCTGAAACCAAACAGGCAAACACACAAAAAAGGCGTGGGGGAGCTTCTTAATTCCGACTGCTGTCAGTTCCCAATAATGAAAGTTATGAAACTTGTTCGCCTCACCTACCTCCCATTTTAATGGCGGCCTCACTTTCTCCGCAATACAAGGTTTAAGAAGAAGTTAAAGAGAGGTAGGTGGGATAGGTGTCAAAACATAGCCCGACCCGATTAACCAGCCCGATCAACCCGACCCGCAACCCGACCGCAATCCGAATTGACTAAAAGTCAACAACCCGTAACCCGCCCGACCCGCAACCCGATTGACCCGCAACCCAACTAATCTGCAACCCGACTAACCCGCAACCCGATTAACCGGAACCCGATTTACCCGCAACACAACTGACCCGCAACCCGATTAACCCGAACCCGATTGACCCGAACCCGACTAACCCGTAACCTGACCGACTCAACCCGAATTTCATCTAATCCACTTGAATAATTATAAAAATATACAATACATAGTTTTTGAAAATAAAGTTTTTCATTCTAAACTTAAGTAAAATTATTTTTTCATTTCGTATAAGAAATTTTAAAAATATGAAACTCACTTGATATTACGTATTTTAAGAAAATTACAAAAATTGAAACATGAAGGTCACTTGAGATCATGACAATATTAATATAATATATAAATTAAAATTTTGGTTAATTTAACTATTCAATAAAATTATCAATTAAATATAAATAAAGTAAAGTAATGTATTTGGTAATTTGATCTTTTTAAAACAAGAGGAAAATTTTGGTGTATTCAAATTTTTGGGAAGAGAAAGAAGAGGGAAATTTGGTTCTTTGAATTTTTTAGAAAAAAAAAACAAGTGGGAATTTTGGTGGTTTTGATATGTGGGAAGAGAAAAAAGTGGGAAAGTTTGATTTTTTGATTATGAAAGAGAAATAAGGAGGGAAACTTTTGACTTTTCAATTTTGTGTAGAAGGAAAGAAGAGGGTAATTTGGTTCTTTCAATTTTATGGAAGAGAAAGAGGAGGGAAAATTGAGTTTTTCTAATGTATGGAAGGAAAAAGAAGGAGGGAAATTTTAGTATTTTTGTGAAAAGAAAGAATGAAACAACTTTGGTGTTTTCAATATTTTGGTTTTTCATAATTTTAGCTTTTGAAATATGAATCTTTAACTTTTATATGGAGGGCATGACTAGTTAAAATTATTCTTATATGCTTTGAAGGCTAATATGTATATATGTATGTAATTTTTTATGGGCTAATAAATAAATTAACCATTAGTTACAACAATTTATACTAAACTTGATAAGTAATCTTTGACGGTTCGTTGTTTAGGATATAAAGTATATGGTTAGGGTATAAGGTATAAGGTACATATGGTTTAGGGTGTATATGGTTAGGGTATAAGATATTGATGGTTTTGACGGTTCTAAGTTTTTATTAACATATGTTCACTTGAAGTCTTTAACAGCAGGAAATCCCTTTTTAATTTATGTTTATGGTACGTGGTTAGGGTACAAGGTATGTGGTGTAAAGTATATGATATATGGTTAGGGTATAACAATTAGCAAAATCACTTTTTATCTATGTTTTGAAAATCAAAGTATGAATTTCACTTATAAATTAACTATACTAGCAAAATCACAACTCAAGGACATATGGTTAGGGTATAGGTTATGTGGTTAGTGTATAATGTATTGATGGTTTAGGGTATACAATCAACAACATATACTAACTTAATATTGTTGATTGAGGGTAAAGCTAAGTGTATAGGATATATGCTATTGAGTAAGTTATGATTGAAGTCACAATAATTTTACTAAATGTGATAGCTAATCTTTAATGGTTCAATTTTTAGGATAATTCGAACAATTTTACAAATAACTCGTTTGGCAACAGTTTACTAAAGTTATTTGGGCAATGATTTATTTTGAAATAACTCCTTTTATCACTATGCTTTTGCCAAATACCACACGCCAAATACTAGATTTGCATGGTTATACAAAACGAGATACTTTAATCAAATTACTACTGAATTAAT